TCATCCCCCCCCCCCCCCCAACCACGGATACAAATCGACACCGTTGCGCGTATTATTGATATTCATCGACTACACTTTTGCGAATTAATTCTGACGAAAAGGTGATATATTAGCCTTGAGAAAACTATAATCGGAATACTTACGTCAGGCCTGTGGAGTCTGAATTCAAGAGCCCGGACAAACTTGCTTGAATTATTTTTGATGATGCTCTATATAGCTATGAAATCTCTCAACTACAGTGTTTCTATATTCGTCGTTTGCGTAAAATCATGTTGTCTATTCAGGCAAATCTAAAATTGTGATTGTGAAGAAGAACACACGGGAATACTTGTGGAAATTGCGACACTACACAAATAAATAGGTAGTGTTAGGATTCAAATTATGAAATCGTCTTCGTATTTGGCAGAAGAACTATTTAAATTTCGACACAGCCTTTATTCCGGAAATGTGAATTCCGGTACTAGGGTACTACAGTCCCAATCTCAATCAGTGGTTGGAAGTCATATTATTCGACCAGGGCCCCACCTTGTATAGAGTGTATATAGATGGCAACTTATTTGCGACTGGTATCAATCGCAACTATGTACATTAGAGATGGGGCAGGTGCGGATCCAGGGGGGGGGGGGGCAAGCGGGCTCTGCCCCCCCCCCCTACCCCGCAAAAAAAGAGAGAGAGAGAGATAGAGAGAAGGGAAAGGGAAAGAGGAAAGAAAGGGAAAGAAAGAAGAGGAAGAAAAAAGAAAAAGAAGGAGATCGGGGGACCGAAAGGGCCTTGCCTCCCAGCTGTTACCTACCCCCCCCCCCCGCCCCATCAAACTTAAAACAGAGAGAAGGAAGGGAAGGGAAAGGAAAAGAGGAGAGAAAGGGAAAGAAAAAAAGAGAAAGAAGAAAGGTAGGGGGGATCAGTTGCGATTTCCCCCGCCAACAAGGTGTAGATCGGGGGGTGGGGGCCTCGGGCGTACTGATTGGGGAGGGGGCTTGGAGGAGACAGATGCCCCCAAATGTAATCCAAACGTGGTTTAATTCTAATTCGATACCGGTGATTTACAAATGTTGCTGAAATGACATAATTTTCGGAATTTTTTCCTCAATCTTTAGTAAATTATACTTTTTTATGCGTTTGTTAGAAAATGGCACATTCCTAAAGAAAGAAAGAAAGAATAGTAAACTGACTTTCTTACAAAATAATGAGTTGGCAAAATTTGCTCATCTGACCGTGAATAAATGCATAAAACGCCTGAGCTTCCGGGGTCTCCACCCCCTGGACCTCACGTCAATCAGTGTCCTTCCAGTGTGACAAATAAGGTATCAAAATATGTTCATTTGACCGTAATTATATGCCTAAAACCCCTGAGCTTCCGGGGCTCCGCCCCCTCGAACTCGCCAAGGGTCCTAAGGCGGGCACCTGGATGCTCATCTGATGGTAATTCAATGCTTAAAACCCCTGAGCTTCTGGGGTCTCCGCCCCCTGGACCTCACGCCAATTAGTGTCCTGCCAGTGTCACAAATAAAGTATCAATATATGTTTATCTGACCGTAATTAAATGCCAAAAACCCCTGAGCTTCCGGGGGCTCCGCCCCTGGAACTGCCCTCGCCAATTCGTGACCTGCCAGCGTCAAAATTAAGGTATCAAAATACGCTCATCTAACGGTAATTTAATTTATAAAACCCCTGAGCTTCTGTGGGCTCCGCCCCTTGGACCCCACACCAATTTGTGTCCTGCCAGTGTCACAAATGAGGTAAAAAAAAATATGCTCATCTGACCGTAATTCATTGCCCAAAACCCCTGAGCTTCAGGGGGCTCCGCCCCCTGGAATTCGTGACCTGCCAGTGTCACATATAAGGTATCAACATATGCTCACTTGACCGTTAGTAAATGCCTATACCCCTTGAACTTCTGGGGGCTCCACCCCTTGATCCCCGGCGAGGCTTCGCCCCTATAGACCCTACGCCAATTTACGCTACGCTCTACCTGATCGTAAATACCCCCACCCCCCACTCACCCCACATACTTAGAGAAACTTTCAGCGGGCCCTGCATGTAAGAATGGGGTGATGCGGATTTTTTTTTTTAACCCCCCCCCCAAAAAAAAAATAAATAAATAAATAAATAAATAAATAAAAATAAATAAATAAATAAAAATAAATAAATTAATAAATTTTAAAAAAAGTTTTGCTCATTTCGCTACTGCCGGTGTCACCATTACGTACCAATATTTTGCTCGCATAATTTCAAATTTGGCCCCCCTACCCTAAGAAATTCTGGATCCGCGCCCGATGGGGGGATTGTAAACTTGCGATTGATTGGAGGACTTTAGATTGATTTATAAGATCAATCACAACCCTTTACTAAAAGATGTCCTAATTATTTAGGTATAGTGTATACAGCATATAATTGAAATTATAATAATAACGTTTTATTTACCCAGGGTAGCCACTTTAGTTATAAAACTGCTCTTCTGGTGGGCCCTGCACAACATAATATGTTATTACTACCCTTCTCTAATCTAATATGCTGAGCGCCTAGCTAGAAGGCGGAAGGTCCTATTGTTATAAGTCTTTGGTATGATTCGGCCGGGGTTCGAACCCACGACCTCCCGTTCATGAGGCGGGCGCTCTAACCACTGAGCCATCATGCCCTGACTATCTCGTCAAAGGGGTTTTGTTTCAACATTTTCAATCTATCTCCTGGCCGGGGAGGAGGCTCGTTCTTCCACACCTATCCATCATGTGACTTTCATCCTGAATAGCTCTGAAGGCCCTTGGCGTTCCATTTGAACGGGTTGGGATTGGGGAAACCCGGTGCCCCCTCCCCATCGATCGATCGGTCCTCCTCACCATGATCTGCTCAGGAACCTGTAAGCTTTTAGTCTGAGAATGTATAAGCTAACATACTAAGCTATTGATAGCGGTATTCGGGCCTCTTACTTAAGCATAAAAATGATAATTGGGACCAGGCGCGTGCGCAGGGGGGGGGGGGGGTGGTTATGTGTATGTTTTGGGGGAAATTGCTCTTAGTCGCTCGAAATTTGTGACAGGTTTAATGATGAGAGGAAAAGGGGTCACTTATCAGAAAAGAAATGGAGCATGTGTACAAAGAGTAATTATCAGAGGTGAAAATGGAGCACTTCTTACACCCTAAAAAAGAGGCACTCACGGTCACCAGGGATATAAAAAAGGTCAGTCATGAGAATAGGAAATGGGCCCCCATCAGATTTTGATAGGGGCATTTATAGGAGGTGAAAAGGGGCATTTATAAAAAGGGGATAATTCCCTTATTAGAAAGGAAAAGGGGCAAGTATCATTGTTAAAAGGGAAATTATCGCAGGTGAAAAGAGGCACCTATCGCACCTGAAGGGGCACTAATGTGAATGAAGAAAGGGGCACTTATAATAATGGAAAATGTGCATTAGTTGAAAGAAAATGGACACCGATCAGATTTTAAAGTGGCATTAATCGGAGGTTAAAGGGACACTTGTCTGAAGTGAAAAGGAGTAACTTCTCGTACCTGAAAAGGGTCATTTACCAGAGAAGGTACACTTATGAGAAGTGAAAGGGGCTCTTTTTTAATGGGGCACTTATCATTAGGAAAAGGGGCACTTATTAGAAAGGGAAAGGGGCACATGTGAAAATATAAGGTGCGCTTATCCGAGTTAAAATGAGGGTAGTTATTAAAAGGGGAAGGGGCACTTAATACAAAGGAAAATTGGCACTTGTCAAAGTAAAAGAGGCACCTCTCAGATTTGAATATGGCATATTATCAGAGGTTAAGGGGGCACTAATCAAAATGAAAATAGGTACTTCTCGTAGGCCTACCTGAAAAGGGGCGCTTACTAGAGATTAAAAAGGGCACTTATGAAATGGAAAATGGACACTTATTGCAAAGGAAAAAAGGGAACTTGTCGAAGGAAAAGGAGCACGTGTCCAAATAAAAGGGGCACTTATCAGGGTTGAAAAGATGAAGAGGCATTTTTACAAATTAATAGGCGCACGTACTTGTGAAAGTAAAAGGGGCACTATTCCTATGTGAAAAGGGGCACTTCTTACAAAGTTTAAAGGGCATTTTTCGGGTGCTTGAAAAATTGGGGGCGGGGAGGGCCGCCTCTATTTATACTGATATCAGGTTATATTAGACTTTTAAACAATATGTTAACATGTTTTAATTAAGGTACTTATAATTGGTATACATATCAACTTTTACATGATGAACATCAATTCATAACATCCCACTTCTCAAAACACCATTTTTATGCACAACAAGCATGTTTGCTGCAAAATATTCCAATACATATATATTGCTAGGGAGGAAAAAGTCCCTTGCAACCAATTCTTATAAAGATTTCTTTGTTTTCTGCCGTTATTAGTTACTGCTCAAGTTTCAAACGTGCATGTGAACATGTCATGTTTTGTTTCAGATACACACTTCCAAGATATCTAGCACATTAATGTAGGTACTTCCCAGATGGAGACAACGGAACTCAAAAAACTAAGTAACTCCATGAACTATAGCAAGAAAACAGGCCTAGGCCCCAATCGATTCTATGATTGTACCAGGGATATGTGAGTTACATATCCCTGATTGTACACTATAATTTATCAAAATATACTCCATTTATCTCCACGATGATCTATGACGTACTCGCTGCATGTCCAGTCTTGATTGGGCTATAGCAGAGAGAGTCAATGATATGCACACTAGGGTATTTAACCTTTGGCTTTTTAGATCATCCCCATTCCTCCCTTTGCTTTTGTGCCAAATCAAAATTTAATTTACGAATAAAAGATAATAATTATGACTCTATGAATATAAAATGAAATTTTAAGAAGACTTTTGATGTATTTTAGCAAAATATTAGATCAGATTTCATGAAATGAATAGATTATAACTTTCTATCCAAAAGCAAATAATTCATTTTCCACAGGGAGGTAATAGTAGTAATGAAACGGAAGAAGTACACATGTATGACCTTTGACATGGGGAGTAAGAGCTAGACGAGTCGAGTTCGCAAAGATAAATACTAGTGTGTAATCGCAGCGTAAGGCGGCTCGAGGCAGAAGCACACGAAAGGAGCTCAGAAAGCACCTATTTTACAATCTTCCCTGTCTTTTTGTAGGTGTTTTCTCGATCAGATTGCAACTATGTCTGCTAAGGGAGGTGCCAGAGGAGTGCATTCGGGGAGAGGCGGGAAAACGAGAGGAAAATCCACCTCTCGGTCAGCGAAGGCTGGAGTTCTCTTCCCCGTCGGCCGTATGGACAGATACCTGCGGATGAGCACCCACCACTACCGCATAGGTTCGGGCGCTCCAGTGTACCTCGCTGCGGTGATAGAATACCTCACTGGTAAACATGATTTTTCAATATCGTAGCAATAATTGTGCAGTATATTTTCTCAGAAGTATTTGAATATGAATATGTCTAGATGGTGACAAATTGTTAAGTTTACATTCTGTCGACTTTATTTCTATAAGTTTTTAAAAATTGAAGAAAAAAAAATGAAATTGGAATTGGAACTCAATCAGGATTGAGATGATCATTGAAACTGAAAGTGTCCACACTTGTACTTGATCTTCATCAGGACATTAAGAATGATCAAATAACCTTTTATTATACAATCAATTATACAATTAATTACATGTCCTTGTATAAGTACATACTACATAGAATCATACTAAACTTGAATGCATGTATAGATCTACACCATACATGTTTAAGTTGTAAGACGTGATGTGATGGTGTTTAAATGCTATGCACTACATGTGAAGAAAACCAAAATTTAAAATTGATCTTTCTGTGACAAATGCATGGTTGCCTGTTAAATTTGCGCGCAAAATGTTTTGCACACTGCATATTTTCCATACTTTTTATTAATACACGTGGGCTGCATATATTGTTCCCACATACTCTACTGTAAAATGTACTTCCTTAAACTTACGGTACATGTAAGTTATTGATCATTTCCACTTGATTCAAAGTGTTTAGTACTCGTACAACCAACTACAGTGTAACATGAGCCCTTAATTAATTGCTTCCACTTATATACTCATCTAATTCTAGATCCATGTTTACATTGAAGTCAGAAGTATTTCTTCATCAAGCACTCATTCTAACACATCCTCTTCAATAGAAAGGGAATCCCCTAAATCTTCTTTTTGTTCCTATATGTAAAACATGTCTTGATCTTCTTTACAGACATGAGCATTTCGAAATTAATGTCTTGAATGAGCATGTAAATGATTTTTAAGAAAAAAACATTTCCCATCACTACTCGTGTTACTTCAGCATGGTGGTATCCATATTACTTGGAAGGAGGCATTCCAGAGATGCCAGTGCAAATTATGATATTTGAAATAAACATTCTCTACATCACCTTATATTGTAATATTGGTTGAAGTCTTCATGAAAGGCCATTTAAGTCACAAAACTAGGCGTTGTGGCGTGCGCCTGTAATCCAGGTAACAGTGGAAGTTACAAACTGATTCAGCCGAGTTTTGAAACTGTTTGAAACTGAGTCATGGTGACGTTTAAAGGTCGTTCCCCAGACGTAAATAATCTGATTGGCACACGTCTGTAAAAACACAATACACACTTTCTATAATTTTCATCCAATTTTAGCTGAAATTCTCGAGCTGGCCGGGAATGCGGCCCGGGACAATAAAAAGGCTCGCGTTACCCCGCGGCACATCCTCCTGGCCGTCGCTAATGATGAAGAGCTTCACCATCTCCTGAAGAACGTGACGATCGCAAGCGGGGGTGTCCTGCCTCAGATCCATCCTGAGCTTCTGATGAAGAAGCGGGGGTCCAAGGCCAAGTCGGTCTTTGACTTCGGTCAGAAGACTCCTGCTGCGGTGCCGGTGCCGAAGAAACCCAAGACGCCAGCGGAGAAGAAGCAGCTGCCTGCTGTCAAGAAACCGGTGGTGAAGAAAGCTGCACTAACTCCTAAACCCAATGCAGCTGTGAGCAAGGGAAAGGTATGGTACAGCATTATTTCATAATGAAATGCTCCCCAGGGAGTGGAAAATGTGCATACATTGTGATGAGAGTAAGCCTGAATCCAATGACCGGGGTAATAATATGTGCTGTGCCTAGAAACAAAGTATTAGGCACATTATAAATGTGAGCTATTATTTATTATTATGTAAGACTGACTAATGCATGTGAAGGTTAAAAGTGTGTCATGAAGAACTCTTTGATGATAGTCTCAACCATTGAAAATGGAATTTGAAGTGATTTAGTGTCTATTTAGAATAAGAGCCATGCAGGATTCAAACTATAATCATGTGCTTAGTTTTCAATACATTTAAACAGTAAAGAAATAGAAGTTGTTTCATGAGGTACTGTTTCCACAGCAGATGTAGGTTCTTCAATCTTTATAAGTACTTTACTCATTTCTTCATCTCATTCTCAAGGAGAATGAATAATTAATATTTTGTGTGTTTATATTGTCTTTCTATCCTTTTACTTCTGCAGACTATTTCTGGAAAGTCGATTCTGGGTGAGAAAAAGTTATTCCTTGGACAGAAGGTAAGCAAAAACAGCCCCTGACTATCTAACCCTTTGAACACTGGATTATTAAATTTTCAAAGACTTAATACATAAACCACTGGGTTCCAGTAAGCAGTGGGTTAAATAATCAGATGAAAGAAACTAATATAATTTTGAACAGTTTGTTAGGAATTCAGGATATTAAAATCTTAAAGATGTTTGAGTCATCCAAAAATTATCGCCTGTGACAGTTTCTATGGTTTAGTGATCTTCCTCAGACATGTACTTCACAAAGGGCGCGTTCATGCTTGATTTTGAAGGCAGAATGAGCGATTTGTAACGCTCATCGTAACGCTCATCGTAATCGCAGTTCCACGGTGCACTGTTCATGCTCACTTCTACAGGCAATTCTCCTTGGGTGGCCTTCAGCTGGATTCGCAAACCTGTGTGCGCATGCTACGTAGACCCACTAGAGGTCAGTGCGTTGACCCCATTTAAACGCGTTTACAATTATCTTTTTGTGAGTTTACGATCGGCGATCGTGATCGCCGTTTTTCGGTGATTCTACAAAAATGAGCATGAACGCAATCGTGTTTTGAACTAAACGCGTAACAGATGCCTGATTCTGGCCGTCAAAATCAAGCATGAACGCGCCCTTAGAGGGGAAGTCCACCTCAATATCAAGTTGTTTTTAACAGAAGAAGAAAAATGAGAGGAACATGTCAGTGAAAGTTTGAGCAAATTCTGATTGAAATTATGTCACAGAGTTGCCCATTTGTGTTTGATTGATTGCAACTTCAAACATTCATATCTTTCTTACTTTAGTATGAATCACAGAAATTTACATTGTTCCACAGTTTGAAATGCGGGATTGAACCAAGTCCTAAAAATAAAACCATGTTGTAGACTGCGCCTCCGAAAGACTGTGCTAGATAGACTTTGCATTTTAGAAGTTGTATTTGTCATTATCATCATTTTAAAGGGATCCGATAACTTTGTCCTAGATCCTTTAAAAAAATCCTTGATTTAGCTCATGCTACAATTATAGTTATAAACCTTTATGTCAGTCAAGAAACCCATGACTTTTACAAGCCGATCGCCTGTCTGATTAAATCAAGATATTTATGATTGAAAATCGAAATCAAATTTTGCGTTTGCCAAACAGTACAGTCTATTGGGGAAAACGAGTATGGTAAAACCAGTCACTCAAATGTTTTTACTGTTTTGAGGCACTTCTTGATTATTTTGAAGCGCAATTTTTTTAGGGCTTCAATATAGCACCATATCACAGACACTGATAACACGTAAAGCCCTGCATCTCAGATTTAACATCGTTAAACGATCCCTTTAAAGAACACCAGTGCACAAATACTATAAGTTTCTTGACATCATTGTGAACCCTCTATACAGATACACTCAGCTGTTATAATGTGTTACTCATGTTTTGACCCCAGCTAACAGTTGTCAAAGCAGATCTGACTGAAATCACAGCTGACGCTTTGGTCCATCCTACCAACTCAACCTATGCAATGGCTGGAGAAGTAGGTCAGTATCAATAACTAGTTAAAGGTATAGACCAGTTATGGTCATGCGATTGTATTGTGAGAGAAACGTTGTGGAATCGATCAGAAAAGGTTGATCATCTAGCATATAAGTATTTGTGTGTACTGCAAGGTGCTGGCATCATCAAAATGATAAGAAATTTGGCCCAGTCTTGGTAAAGTTACAAGCACTGTACACAGAAAGATGTATATGGAACTACGAAATATCTATCCAGGCCGGATCGATATGATAAGTTACCAAATATATCAATTAGTAGGCAGTTTCCCAGCAAAATTTGTATCATCACGTATTAGTCAAAACATATTCTTTTACATGATTGGTAATAAGAGCTTCCATTTTATTTTTTGAGAGGGGGGCATTTCCAAAACTGGTCTATACCTTTAAAGGGGAAGTCCACCCTGATATAAAAGTTGGTTTTAATAGAAGCAAAAAATTAGAGATCCAGGTCATTGAAAGTTTGAGCAAAATTGATTAAAAATGAGAAAGTTAAGAATTGTTTAAGGTGCAATCAATTAAACACGGATTGGCACCTTGTGACGTATCTTTCGAGCTCCCCTCCCATTTTTCCTGTAATGAAATACTTCATAAATCTTTATTTTCCCTTAAACTCACTCTAAAGTGTTGAGAACCCCTAAAAACTTCACTTAAATTGTATCATAATGTGAAAGAGAATCTCGTTTATACACATTTCTGCAAGGATTTTATAAACAAATGTGTTTAAAGTTGAATATTGATGAAATAATACAAATTTAGGATTTCTGCATACCTACGACAGAAAACCCAATTTATATTTTTTCTTGAGTACCGGTAACCTTTTTTGGGGTTATTGCAATGAAATGTGTTATCTCTCAAACACAAGTCATTTAATGATCAGGCTTGCAACAATAATTTTCCTAAAAGGAGTATATACACATTTCTGCAAGGATTTTATAAACAAATGTGTTTATAGTTGAATATTGATGAAAGAATACAAATTTAGGATTTCTGCATACGACAGAAAACCCAAATTATAGTTTTTCTTGAGTAAATTTTTTGGGTTATTGCCATAAAGTGTGTTATCTCTCATAAACAAACCATTTAATGATCAGGCTTGCAACAATAATTTTCCTAAAAGGAGTATTACCACCAATATAAAAAATGTGATTTTCAGTTTGTTTAATGATGTAATGATTCATCCTTCCAAATCCCTGCCACTATAAATAAATAGATATTCAAATTACAGTGGCAGTTTTTAAATTTGCCCATGTACTTGTCAGCCAAATGCTGTTTAATACACAGATTACATTTTGTTCATACCTGAGGTATGAAAAGAGGGGTTTGAAAAAGGGACCTTCTCTAAAAAAGACATACAAATGTATGCCACCTATCAAGTTTCCATGCATTTTTAAATCCTAAAGCAATGTGATCTTTTTTTCTCAGGGAGTGCACTAGAGAAGGTAGGAGGTAGAGCGTTCGTGGAGGAAGTGGCAAAGCTTCGTGCAGCTCAGTCACTAGATATATCTGGAGGTAAGGATTAGGCCATCTTAGTACGTAATCTCAACCCCTTCTTCTCTTCTCTACAATTTTATTTAAATGCACATAGGTTCAAACTGCCTTGAAAGTTTGTTAAGTGCAAAGGTCACTGAATCTTAAATGTTTTGTTCCGAAAGTAGCAACCTTCTGTGATATCTGTGATAAAGTAATTTATAAATAAAAGGATTTTGCCGTAAGTCATATGTTCTCTTTTAGAATTCATGATACTCATGACTAATTATGGTCCTCATGCTATCAAACAAAAACATCTCTACCTTTCTTAAATATATCTTGGTCGATATGTCTCACCCTTTTTCTATTTTCCTTTTATAGCTACCATAAATGTCCTGTACATACCCTACCAGCCTGTAGAGGTGTCGTAGTCGAGTGGTTTCAGCACTTGACTGTAAATGCAAAGGTTGAGTGTTCAATCCCTGACATAACACTAATCTCCTTTGGCAAGACATTCATCTCTATTTGCCACTCCATACCCAGGACAGAAATGGGAACCTGGTAGGATGTTGAAAGCCTTTGTGATAGAAATTTCCATACGCCCTCATGGTGACCATATGATTGGAATACTCCCCAAAGAGTGGAAATTGTACACATTATGCATGGATTACTAAAATGACCGGGGTCACTCATAATGATATCTGTAAATTGCTTAGAGATGGTATTCTGTACTACTAATAATAGTTCATTCTTCTATAGGACTTGTCAGGACCAAAGCGCTTTACAGATATATATTAGCACTATATAAATCCAGATTTATTAATATTTTTATAGACATTCATTAAATTTATAAATTGTGGTCCGACATCATAAATCAATTTTGATCTGCCTTACGTACTGTGCACAACCTACCTGCCAAATAGATGTTTTATGTTGACAGCTTGAACCATTATAAAATGCGGTTTATAATGTGTTAAAAAACACTATTTACTTCTTATTTTCTAGCTGCCATCTGTCCTGCCCACAACCTCCCAGCCAAGTACGTCATTCACGTCAACAGTCCCAGCTGGGGAGGGGCCAATGCCGTCAGTAACCTGGAGAAGTGCATTAAGAATTGCCTGGCCCTCGCAGATGAGAAGAACATCACATCCATAGCCATTCCATCCGTTAGTAGTGGCAGGTAAGAGATCTGAAAAGCTAATCAAATTTTCATTGAAATTGTTTACCCTTCCTTTGCCACCCAGTTAACAATCATAGTGATTTATCATTGTGCATATTGAGTTCCCCCTAAAAAAGCCTATACTCTCTTACCATTTTGTAACAAATTTGGTAGACCATACAAGGAGGAGACATCCCCGGTAACAACTGCAGTAACAAGCAAAACGTGAGGGGTATGACCGACTTGTGAGAGTACGGGTAATCGTCCTGGTCAACCTTCTCGTGGTGGGGACTGTTAACCTGTTGACTCGTACAACAGGGACAAACAGACCAGGGTGGCTAGGAGAGGAGTGTCTCGTCCACCTAGCTTACAACATGAGCGAAACTGTTTCACAATGGAAGTACACACAAACAGCACCAGGGTTAAAGCCCCTGCCTTTACTAACCTGCCAACTCAGCCCGTGGTCCTGCAAGAAGCAGTGAATTATGACGCAACAGCTCGAAAGCCTAACGGGGGAGTTGCTACTGAAGAACCACCGACAAAGAAAGCACCACTACTAACAACAAAAAAACAGATTGGAATTGGCACATGGAATGTGCGGACACTGCTCCAAGCTGGAAGCTTAGACATACTACTACATCAACTAAAAGGATTTCGCTGGGAAATCATCGGCATTGCAGAAACCCACTGGACAGACATGGGAGACTTCACCCATGATGGACACAGAATCCTATGCTCGGGGAAAGATAAAATTCATAGAGAAGGAGTTGCATTGATTCTTAACAAAACCGCCCAAAATGCACTTCTTGGTTACAACCCCATCTCACCAAGAATTATATCAGCAAGATTTGAAATACAAACAGGATCATTGACCATAATACAGGTCTACGCTCCAAACACAGCCAACAGTGAAGAGGAAATTGAGGAATTCTACAACCTACTACAAGCAACGATAGAGAAAGCTCCAAGAAAAGACATTCTTATAGTAATGGGCGACCTAAATGCGAAGGTAGGATCAGACTCCAAGCAATGGAACCAGGTTATAGGTCAATATGGACTTGGGGAGGCCAATCCCAGGGGAGAAAAACTTCTTAATTTCTGTGCAGCAAACGACCTGATCATCACTAACACGCTATACAAACAAAGCAAAGGAAGCCGCCAGTGGACGTGGGAATCACCAGACCAAAACACCCATAATAAAATTGATTTTATTATGATCAACAAAAATTGGAAAAACTCAATTAGTAATGCAAGAAGCTTTCCAAGTGCTGATGTAGGATCAGACCATCAGTTAATTATAACCAACCTACGCCTCAAGCTCAAAGCAAAACCTAGACCGCAGTACCTGAAGCGGTATGATGTCTTTAGACTCAAAGACCCCAAAACCAGGACAGATTATGAAATTGAAATAGGAGGAAAGTTTGGCCCTCTGCTGGGGGAAGATGACACAGATGTGGAAAACCTATGGAAAGAAGTAAAAACAGCCATTAATGAAACCTCACAGAAAGTATTGGGACTTAAAAAATCCAAACAACAAGAACCCTGGATAAGTGAGGAAGTCCTCCGACTGAGTGATGAGAGAAAGGAAGCGAAACAAGACAAACAAAGAGACCCAAACAAAAGACCGAGATACAACTTCCTTAACAGAGAAATACGAAGGAAAACAAAAGGCTGCAAAGACAAATGGATACAAGATCTATGCAAAAAAGTGGAAACCTCACGTCAGGCTACCAAATCCAAGGCAGTCTACACAACAATCAAACAAATCACTAAGAAATCTAGCATCAGAATGCAGGCAGTGAAAAGCAAAGATGGAGAAATCCTTACCGAGATGAAAGATGTTAAAGAGAGATGGAAAGAAAGCTTTGAGGAACTGTACAATCACCAGAACCAAACAAATGGAGAAGCTACTAACATACCTCAGATGGCCAGCCTCGAACCGGTTCCAGACATTCTGCGAGATGAAGTAGAATTTGCTGTACGAAAACTCGCAGAAGAGAAAGCACCTGGATTTGACAGCATCACAGGAGAGGAACTCAAAGCTACTGGGCCAACAGGAATCACCATACTTCACAAATTGTGCAACATAATATGGCGGGAAGAAAGTTTTCCGGCTGACTGGGGAAAAGCCATAATAACACCAATCTACAAGAAAAAAGACAAACTCAACTGTGGAAACTACAGGGGTATTAGCCTGCTAAGCCATGCAGGGAAAGTATTCAGTATCATCCTCCAGCGAAGGATCATGAAGAAAACAGAAGAAGTGCTGTCCGAAGCACAAGCTGGATTCCGACCAGGACGTTCCACTATGGATCAACTGTTCACCCTCAGACAGATAATGGAAAAGCGCCTTGAAAGAAATCAAAGTCTCCTATGCTGCTTCATCGATTACGAAAAGGCATTTGACTCAGTCTGGCAGGAAGGGCTGTGGAAAGCAATGAACTTCTTTGGATATTCATCAAAATACATACACCTACTTCAAGCACTCTACCAACAATCAAGCAGTGCAGTCAGAGTGAATGGTGAATTGACCGACTGGTTTAAAACCACAGTTGGGGTACGCCAAGGATGTGCCCTGTCCCCACAACTTTTTAACATCTTACTCGAAGCTGTGATGCTTTACGCTATACATGACACCAAGATCGGCGTAAGAGTACAGGGACAGCTAATCAACAACCTAAGATTTGCGGATGACATAGTCCTTATAGCTGACAATGACAGAGACCTCCAAACAATAGTTGACCTAGTACATCAGAGCAGCTCAAACTTTGGACTGAAAATAAACATTACCAAAACAGAAGTACAAGCCATAAGCAAACAGCCTCAACTATTGAATATAAACGTTGGAGGAGAACAGCTAAAACAAGTAGATAAGTTCACGTACCTGGGAGGAACAATAAGCCAGACAGGATCCTGCTCGGAAGAGGTAAAGCACCGCATTGGGAAGGCAATAGGAGCATTCCAAGCACTCAAGAAAATCTGGGCATCACAAGATATACGCTGCTCAACAAAGGTAGATCTGTACAAAGTCCTGGTGTTGTCTATTCTGTTATATGGTGCAGAAACATGGACATTAAAGAAGGTAGATGAAAATAGACTTCACACTCTTGAGATGGCATGCCTCAGGAGAATCATGGGTGTGACCAGATTTGACAGGCTAAGGAACACACACATACGAACACAACTGAATATGGAAGAAACTATCATCGACAGGGTTGCCACAAAAAGACTGAGATACTTTGGACATATCAACCGAATGAATTCAAAAAGATACCCCCACATCCTTCTCAATGGAAATATACATGGCAAACGCCCAAGGGGAAGACCAGCTAAGAGATGGACAGACTGCATCAAGGCGGACTGCAAAAACAGACAAGTTGACTCCCTGACTAAAGCTACAAGGTTAACAGAAGACAGGAAGGTGTGGCAAGCCATAGTGAAACAGAAGCCATCATACATCCCAGTGATGGTGTGGACGGCTTAAGTAAGTAAGTAAGTAAGTAATATTGAGTTATTGACACAAATATTCTTCAATGATACCTGACTTTGCAGTTTGTGACCCCAGTTTAAATTTGAGCAGAAAGATACAGTTTTTGTACAAAACAATGAATACAGTATTACAGTTTTGGCACTTTAAATTTCTATTGGCATGGAAGTCAGTTTCCATGTGCAGTTGGTCATAATTTGCTGTCACCAGACTTGAGGGAATATAATTTAATGGGTGTACAAGTCTGCACACAAGGACAAATGCTAGGAATTAATCACCCTAACTGTGGCAAATTTTACTCCTGTTGAACTGTCATTTGAAGTGATGCAGAAAATGAGGTTTCAATTTACTTCTGTGCAATACTGAAATGGAAAGTATTTGTTATTCCTTTATGATTGTATTCTACGTTCATTCAGCTTTCCATTGATGTAAACTTGTATGATCATCGGATAGGGTCTTTATACAAGATGGAACTAGTGTGATTACCTGTAATTTGATATCTTCTTTAGTATGCGGGTGTGTATATGTGATTCATAAAGTTGCAAATTCTTGGGGGGAAAGATCCTTTGCTCACGCGTGTCCTACCTAATATGGAATAGCCCTCCTGAGGACATCAAAAAGTGTATAACCTCTTATTCCTTCAAAAATCAAGTAAAAACGCTTCTGTTTGATTCTTATCTTAATTATTTCTATGTGCACCTTGAGCACTCCACCATGTGGATTTGGTGGTATACAATTTCTAGACCTCTAGGAAGAACAGAGCCATTTTAATAATGGCTCTGATAGAGCATTCCAGCCGTTTTTAATTCTTGTTTTTTATTATATTTATAAATTGTATTCTTGTATGTATTTGAATTTGTATACAGAAAATAAAACCAAACCAAACCAAAGTTACATTTATTATTAAATTGTTCTTTCTTTCCAGGGCTGGTTTTCCAAAGCAGATTGCAGCTGAGACTATCCTCCGCACGATCAGCCATTACTTTGTATCCGTCATGGCATCCTCTCTCAAACAGATCTACTTCGTTCTCTTCGACCAAGAGAGCGTCGAGGTCTACGTCACCGAACTCAACAGACTGGAGCCTGATCAATGAGGGGTTCGTTCGTTTGGACCAAACATAGGTGATGATAGCGTCTTAGCCTAGTTATACATGTTTGTATATCTCTTTTTAGTGTAATGTTGATGGAGTATGTCGGAATGGCAGTAACATGCGAGTCAGTGATTTGTATAAAAATTCCTTGAGAATCACTGCTGTTCCCTTGGTGTTGGCGTCCATATCCCGAAGCCTGTTAGGGTTGTTCTAATTCAAGAGAGAAAGTCTATATTTTGCATCAAAAGGAAGAATGTCGGTATAAAGGCTTCAGAAATTTATTCAGAGGATAAGGATATGGTGTCAATTTGCGAGTTTGGATTTGGCAGTTTGAAATTTCCTTCAAGAAAAGTAACCATTGTTTGGTTGCATATGTACATTGGGCTATTAATTACCTCAATCTCCTCAATTTCATATCTTAGCCATTCTAATTACCTCATGTCCTTCTCAAGCTTATGATGAAATCCTGGTTGATGGGGTGTATGCATGATAGTTAGAAAATGTCCCCCAAAAAGGGGGTACTTTTCTGAAATGTTGTGGATTTGAAGAAGGGTATGGTTCTGTTTAAGAGCAAGAAATTTCATGAAAAAGGGTTGTTATATTTCAAAGAGGAATCCGCAACTCAAATTCCCCCCAAAATAGGGTTCCTTGTGAATTTGTACTCGTTGAGCTACCAAACTAGGGTTAAAAGACTATTTTGTACTCGTTTGGGGGCGAAAAGCATCCAAATTTGTGGGAAATTTTCCACAAGTAGCGTGTCATTTTCGACTCTGCTAACGATCTTGCGTTACCCCTTTGAATATGAAGTGAAACTCCTATGGAGGAAACGTGGGTAGATGTGAAGAACTTGTGTGATATGTGAATAGGGAAAGGTTTTCAGCTTGGATGTGGCATCTTCCTGTACAGTGAAAACCTGTTTATTGAAGCTAATTTTAATGCTGCATCTTAAAGATTAAAAAAATTGTCAGTTTCTTGAAATATTGGAACAATCTTCTCTGTTGCTAGGAAATGGTATTGCCCAAATTTACTTTCTAATGTTAGGAGTATTTTCAACCATGATACACAACAGATTGTGAATATTTAGCTGATTTGTGGTAAGTTCTTGGAATTTACTATAATCAAGTTAAATCCCCCAAAATTATTGGGATAGAGAACTTCTTGCTCTTAAAAAGGGGACTTGCTTCATACAGTTTAATCTGTATTTATTTCATTATCCAAGCCATTAACATGAGCTATATTTTGTAAATGATTGTAGTGTATGAAATATTTTTTGTATGATGTAGTAGCAATGGTGTAATATTTTGTTACTTTAGGCTAAATATTGCTGAGTTATCTTCATTTACATTGTATACATAGCAAGAGGGTTGTCAATTTGAAATATATATTATACATGTATTACCTCTTTTTAAAATAATCATGAAAGTAAGCTTTTTGATGTACAAAATTGTGATTTGTATCTGTAGAAAATATCTTTCCCTTTTTGATGTAGTTTTATTACAATAATTGTTCATTGTTGAAATAAGTTTACATCAGTTTGTTGTATAGATGACAAATCTAGATGGAATTAAAATCCTTGTGAAGAGAAATTAAGGAAAAAGGAAACTTAGATATATAATGTTAGTGCTTTCACCGTGATATATGTCGATACATATCGATACATATCGATACATGTATGATTAGATCTATTATATTTGCTTTGCTTTTCATGAGTCTGATAAAGGTTAAGAAATAACTTACAGTATATACTTGTGAAATATTTATGGGGATTTGATGAATTTCACTTTTCTAAACAAAATCATGTTAAATTGATCCATGTAACATTTCCTATATTTTGTTTTTAAAAACAAATTCAAAACTGAAATAGGTATCACCAATGTTTTCCTTTGGTGGGGAATATTTAAGTGAGTGCATCATGAAAAAGTTAACGTTTCATCTTTATCATTTACATGTAATAGGTGTTTGGGTAAATCATGCGTTCCATTTTGAGGGAAAAATCAGTCTTCAGAATCATGTTTTCAGGAAGAACTTGATGTAACATTATAGTGTAGGTTCACATTGTTCATGTGAAATGGATCATCTCAAATTTTAAAGCCATACTGTACAGGAAGCACTACCACAAAATCCACTCTAGCGCCATCTAAGGTCAGCTGTAGCCTTATCGCCCCATATAGTCCTCTGTCTGCGATGTGAGAATTAGGCATTGGGTTACGCACTAATGGCAATTTGATCATGAGATGGCGCTGTGCAATAAACGGTATGCTAGGGCAAAAAAATTCTTAAGTTCAGTATCGCTTTAAATATTCCTCTCTCTTTTATACAGCTCTTATTGAAAAGAATGCTAATACAACAAACCTTTCATATTTTGTGCATCACACATGCACATGCAGGCATGAGTTAGCCCATGCTTGTCGGACATTTTTAAAGACATGTTTTTGAAGTGTAGAGAAGTATATTTGTTATCTATTTTGTGAAACAAGTTGTAAATCTTGCGAGAGGTTTAATTGCCAATTTCAATATTATTTTCAATATTTTAATTTAAAGTGAAAAGCAGATGTTTTGAAAATTTCCTTTAAAATGTTGTTTATATGTTGTATGTAAGCTAGAAGAATATATCAAATATTGTTTCTTTTGTTTTTTCATCATTATTATTAATTTTATATTACTCTTTAGATTATATGCATTCTTTTATTGTCAATTCACAATTTGATAAAGTAGTAATTTCACTTTTATATAGTGCAGATACCATAGTAATATTGAAATGATTTATATAGACATAGTTAATATTTATATAATTTTATCATATGCATCGGAAGAACTTCTTTCTGTTTATTTAGTTGGAATATAGTAATCATGTGCGATGGAATAGGTTTGAAAAACCTTGATTTTACAATTTGTTTGTATTATTTTAGTTTACACCTCGAACATATATATGTGAATTGCTAGAAAAATAAAATGTAAGCTAAGGAAATTTTATTTCCTTGTCTGCCTTTAAATCATTGAATAACTTTGCATTTCTATAGCTCTGTAATGACTGGTGAGAGGTATTTACCCAGGCCGCGCATATTTTTTTTACACAACTGTTTAGCCACTTCAGTCAAATATACTGTGCAAACGACTAGAGACAGAGTCTAGCATTACCCTTAGCAGTTTCGTTGGATTGCTGGAGCTGCATTGTGTACACTCGTTATTTGTTTCGGGTTAAATCTATCCTCTCTTCTCTTTCGTCATGTATTTCTGTGTTTTTCAATCTATTCTTTTTCTCCCTCGGCATCTATTTTTTTGTTTTAATCTCATAGAATTTCTCCTTCTTTATGTATTTCCTTGTTTTTCCTTCTCCATATCCTCTCCACTATCCTTGTTTTCCCCTTCTATCATCTTCCCTTCCCTGGGTGTAGTGCTTGCACATATAGCGCTGACGACTTAGACTCTTTCACCAGAGCACTTCTTGGAATTTTTTCGCGAAAATGGCTAAACAGTGGTGTAAATTAATATGCGTATGCATGTACAGTAATATGAGACACAGAAATATATATCTTCGTTAATACGGAAAACCACCATGACTCGAGTCTCCTCAAATTTAGAATTTACACAAATGCGCTAAGAAGTGCACATCGACCTTGTGATAGATGTCACTATAAGAAAAACAATACATATACAATATATTTTGTTTTCACGTGCTCACATAATTTGGTACTTCAAATTCTATCCTCTCTGGTTAATCATTTAAATTTGACCTTGCCAACTATTAAATCCATATGGGCAGCGTCTCACGCTCACGAAACCGTCATAAGTACAAGTTCACCGAACTCCAATTGAAACGTGTGTTAAACTTAATACACACATTTCAATGAGATGTCGTTGGATTTATACTTATGACAGTTTCGTGAGACGCTGCCATGATCCTTGAATGTCAAACTACGCCATCACTTGACAGGAAATTTGGAATCGGTATTATTATTGGGGATGTCTTGTCCTGATGTGTAGGAAATTTGTTGAGGAACTATAGAGTCGTGAACAGTGGCGTACCTGGGGTACTCCGTCAGGGGGGGCAAGCGACAGAAACAAACAAAAAGGCGATGCTAATTTTCACTTCTGGCGAGCGAGCGAGCAAGAAAAAATCTTTAAGTAACGTTTGGTATATAAACTGGTATTGTTGCAAGTTGGGGGTGGGAACATTCACTTGTTAGCGACGTTAATTTCATTTTTTTGCAAACGAGCGTAGCGAGCAAGAAAAAAAACACTTCTTTTTTAATAATTGCCACTTATAAACTTGGTTCAATTGTCCCATGCAGGGCATGGGAACAATATTGTGTTTAGGCTAATTTTATACCCATTTTAGCTAGCGAGCGAAAATGCATCTTTCTCTCAATGAATTGCTATATAAAATTTGTTTCATTGTTGCAGGTCGGGCACAATCGTGTTTAAGGCAATGTCAATCCCATTTTGGCGGGCAGGCAACCCCCTACATTTCTCTTTTTAATGATATTGTAGCAGGTTAGTGGTGGGCACATAATTCCACGAGCTAGCGAGCGTAGCGAGCGAGCGAAAAAAATCACTTCTCTTTTATAGGGAAAATATGGTACATAAACTTGGGTTCATTGTTCCATGTCAGGGACGTGATTATTAAAAGCGGTGTTATTTCTATTTTGGCGAGCGAGCGAAAAAAAATCACTTCTCTTTTATAGGGAAAATATGGTACATAAACTTGGGTTAATTGTTCCATGTCAGGAACGTGATTATTAAAAGCGGTGTTATTTCTATTTTGGCGAGCGAGCGTAGCGAGCGAGCAAAATTTTTGTAATGATAGTTGGTTCATAGATTTCAGATTTTTTTGTTGCAGGGCAGGGCTTACACAATCATGTCTAAGGTGATGTTAATTCCGTTTTGGCGAGCACGAGCACACCAAAACTTCTTTGAATAACGTTTGGTACATAATTATTAACTGGTTGTTGCAGGTTGGGGCGGGCAAGTTAGCGGTGTCAATTCCATTTTGGCGAGCGAGCATAGCGAGCAAGCAAACAAAATTCTCTTTTAATAGAAATTAATAAATAAACTTGTTTTTATTGGTGCAGGTCAGGATGAACGCAATCGCGTTCAACGCGATTCAATTCCTTTTTGGCGAGAGGGCGAAAAAACTCTTTCATTTTTGATTATATTGTTGCAGGTCAAGGGTGGGCACAATAATGTTTCCAAAGCAATGTCTATTCATTTTATTCACGAGCGAGTGTAGCGAGCGAGAAAAATGAATTAGTCTCTTTTAGTAACATTTGGTACATACATTGTGTGTTATTGTTGCCATGGTTGCAGGTCGGGGCCCGTCGGGCCAGGCACAATTGTATTCTAGGCAATGCTAATCCTTTTCTTTTTTCAGGGGGACGAGCAAGTGAAAACATTTAATACAAAATAGGCTAGCAAGCAGTTCGCGCCAGCGAAGAGTTTCGAATTTGTTATATCACTTATATTTTCCTATTTTCATTTGTCTTAATTTTTCAGGGCCGTATGCGGAATATTTTTCTGGTGGGGGAGGGGGAAAGATGCGTTTTAAAGTTTTCGAAGAATCTCAAAAACAAAAGGAGTGAAGGGAGTTCGAGCGACCGAACTAGTCATGAGGGTACTTTTGCATTTTCAAAAGTAGAATTGAAGGATTTGGTATAGGCCTACACTACATTTTTAGGAAAAAAACTGTACGTTTTCAAAATATCTGGGGTCAACTGCCCCCCCCCCCTGGTGCGTAAGGCCATGGTCTTTTTTTAATTTCCTTTCCTTTTCTTCTTCCTTTTTTCTTTCCTTTTCCCTTTTTTCCTTTTTTCTCTTTCTTTCCTTTTTTTCTTCCCTTTTCCTTTTTTCTTTTTCTTTCCTTTCCTTTCTTTTCTTTTCTTTCCCCTTTTTCTTTTTTTCCCTTGGGGCCCGTCAGGGGGGGCACTCTGCCCCCCCTGCCCCCCCCCCCCCATAGGTACGCCAGTGGTCGTGAAGTGTGTCGTCATCAAAAATCTATTTTTAGAATTTCTCGATTTTTTCTTCATTTTCCAAAGAGCATCAAAAATAATGTCCGAATCTCGAAAACCAATTGAATATATTAAGTATTGGCTGAGATATGACCATCTGAATAAATAATTATATATTATAGTGCTCTGGTTCCTAATGTTATGAACCAGACCACTATATTACACTGAGTTCCCATAGGCCATATATTTATTCAGATGGCATTATCTCAGCCAATTTTCGACATTCGGACATTATTTTTGATGCTCTTTTGGAAAATAAAGAAAAAATTGAGAAATTCTAAAAATAGATTGTTATGATGTCACAGCTTCGGTACTCTATTTTAGCTTATTGACGTGTTTTGTAATGTCGCCCTCTTACCCCCCCCCCCCTACACACACACACACCCCCACACACACACACCACCACGTCCCCTTTCCGAACGTTGATTTCTCTCAAGTAGCACAATTCCATCGAGGAAAGTGGTGAGGGGGGGGGGGGGGTGAGTGAGTAATCGGACCGATTTAGGGAAATTCTAAACCGTCTTTTAGTATTTTAATATAGTATTTTAAATATAATAAATTTTCACTACGATTATAGAGTCAATAACATAGATTATGTCACATTTCAAATTATTGGTTGATTTTAAAATGATTTCCCTTGAAAAGTGCGGGTACATTTTGTACGGGCCACTTACCTTTCCTAAAACTGTGTGTCTGTGGGATCTCCCCATCCCCGGAATTTATACCAGTGTGTGAATAGCAGGAAGCAACGAAAGAATGGCTCAAGTTTTCATAGACCCTTCGCAGATTCCTTTCTACCAGACAAACACAGATATAATGGTCAAGTTACGTAATTCAAATATGAACACGTCTTTATCCTGTGTAGCTGTTAAGTATGTTGGAAAGGAGTTCTCCTTCATTCACGAGTGCAGTGGACGGTGGAGGTATCTCCAAAATTCAATTCAATTAAAAAATTTATTTATTTGTCCAAATGAAATAAATGGAAATGTTACAATGGGATTTTTACAAGCAATGAAAGTACATATATAAACAGCAACAAACACAGTAATAATCGAAATACATAAGTGAAAAACATACGTAAACGTTGACATAGACATGGATATTAAAGTAAAATTATACATAGAATGAGCACTAAGAAAGAGTAAACGGAGACAGAAGATCGAGGGGGAGAAGGGGTATAAATGAGAAGAAGGAGAAGCATTTATTGAGAGGAAGGGAAAGAGAGCTGATGCGAAGTAAAGAAAGGAGAAGTAGGCCTAGGGAGGGTTGTAGAAAGAAAGAGAGAATATCATGAAATGAAACAAAATGATAAAAGCGATAATTAAGACGTCAGCAGAACACAATAAACACCATCGCCGGCACAGACCCTCAATATCCTATTGAATTGCCCATATAGAAAGCATGCCCGCGGATATTGATGTTCGCATAAATCGATGGTCGACACACAAAGCTATCATTGTACATTAAAGGAAAGGTGTTTGATTGTCAGCGCTTAAAAATTAGGTATATTTACCATGAATAGGACAAATTATAATCATTTGAAGGCTTTAATTACAACAATGTACAATCTGATTGAATGTACCACCTGTACTGTCATGCTTGTATTACATAGCCAAAATTGGAGAGAGATTAATGTTGTAATGTTCGCATAAATCAATAGTCGACACACAACGCTATCATTTTACATTAAAGGAAAGGTGTTGGCTGGTAAGCGCTTAAAAAATAAGTAGGCCTATATTTACAATAAATAGGAAAAATTGATCATTTGAAGGCTTTTATTACAACAATGTAATCTTATTGAATGTACCACTCGCACTAGTCATGCTAGTATTACATAGCCAAAATTAGAGAGAGATGGTAAGGATTTAGGATTGTGATCCTTGAGCTACAAAAACATCTTCCATTAGGTATACTAATTATCTATATTAATATTTATATACATTATCCTCTCAACAGTCTAGGAATGTTCTGATTACTATTTGTTATCAATATAAAATGTGTAAGGAGGTTCTTTCTTCCCTCCTTCTATATCCTTCCTTCCTAACATTGTACTTATTTAACAAACGAACAAATTTGACAGTTTTGAAGACAATATAATTTTTGTTGATCATAGTTCTATCTAGCTTCATGTTTTATGGGAGTCGTAAGGGACAAGCTGAATTTTAGCGACAAGCGTTTGTTCTTTAAAAGGTAATACAAAGTTTTGGTAAGGGGTCATGAATTTGGTGCAAATGAACATATTGGAAGCAACTGCGATCCTACAATATTCAGTGATCATTGTCGCGGTTGAAATTGAGTCTTAAGTTATGAAATTGTAAATAATAAACACTTTATGTTGTCTAGCTCCCTCTCAAGATCAAAAAATTAATCAATCAAAAAAAATAATGTTTCTTGACTAAAATTCGACCGATTAGCTATTCCCGTTCGGAAATGATATACCACAACTACATACTCTGAGATTTTCATGGTCGCAGCTACCATTGTATGGCCGTAGGAGCTAATTGAAATTTATCAAAATTTACCGGGAGCACCGGTAAATCTTTATATTCAATTTTTCTCGAAAGCAGAAGTGTTTTAGGGGCTAAATTTTCTAGTGCTTATAATACATCCATAGGGGCATCCAAATATATCAAAATTGTAAAGAATCACTATCCACCCATTTTTCAAAATTTCCCAAAACTTTGTATTACCTTTAATACTACTAAACATAGAATAGCAATTTACTTTTTAGCGACTCGTTTCGTGGGAAAGTCTTTCTTTCTTTCCTATCTTTTGTTTCTTTCGAACTTCCTCTAATTCTATCTCTCTCTCTCTCTCTCTCTCTCTCTCTCTTTACGTTGTCTCCCTTCGTTTTGTTCCAATTCTTTCTTTCCTTTCCTTTCCTTTCTTTCTTTCGTTAGTTATCATGTATTCTGTAAAAAACAAAAACAGGGTAGTCTCATTTAGTGCCACGTGAATGGCCTTCTTATAAACAAGGAAGGTCTGCTATGAGCAAAATGATACAACATAACTTATAAAACATAATTTAAAAAAAATACATGGTAAAGATAATTTCATTTATTTTTCTATTTCAAATATGAAATAAAACAATAAAACATTTTAACATAAACAGGGCATGGCTGATAATCAGTTGAAACAAACGTATAACAAAGAAATGAACAACATGACTTGGATCATAAAATGATAATAACTTTGAAATATAACGAAATACTCACAACAAAAACAAATATGTGACTTAAATTACAGAGCGAAATGACAAAATTGTTTCTTTCTTTTGTCTGTCTCCCTTTCTCTGTACCTATTATACATTTCCTTGCTATAACCAAAGAGATAATACAACTCTGTGCTATAACCTGTAAACACGCCCTACCGAGGAGGTAATTACCAGTTACTGTAACAACTAGCTGAAAATATGTTAGGCTCTACAGTTGTGAAAAGGCTAAATGATAACGATTTCCTCGGATAGGACGTTTTGACATGGAGGCCATGCACTATTCGTTTAAAATTAGGGGAAACCCCGGTGAAGTGGTCCACCAGCAAACCCCAGTATATCAGTATACCCAGATGGACCTTGTGGAAGATTAACCCTGTGCTCCAATAAACTCTACCTAACCATTACTACCAACGATTGCGTCTTTATACGCATTCCTTGGAAATGCACATTCTGAAAGGGACGAAGGACGTTCGATTAAATAGAACGACGTCTATTTATCTCTCCTTTTATTGCACTCACACAGGAATTCTTTTTTACTGAAGTCCCCAAATAATGCTTCAGTGAGTTTTGTATGACGTCCCTCCCATTCAAGTAGAGACCAAAGCCCCACGCTGCGTGCGGGCTGCAAGTTGTACTAATCGGATTCTGTCTGGCTTGGTATAGTTACATGCCAGTATCTGCGGCACACTCAAACAGCGTTCACTACCAATTGAAGATAAATACATTTGTATATCAGTCGGAGAGAGAGAGAGAGGATCGCTGCTTGTATCGTCGTGTTGATCCTGTTCATCTAAACCATTGACACAAAATAGAGCTTGCAAAGAGAGTATTCGTGTTTTCTGGCGTCGTGACAGACACAGTGCCGTGGTAAATTTGAATCCGCAGGAGCTTTTACAGGTTTGGAAACAGTGGTATATTTCAACCATGACTGAACAGATCAACCCAAGTGCACGGAAGATTGTTGATCTTGATCGACAGTCTATCGTGTTGGATGTGAGTATAATTCTGATTTGCTTTTTTTTAATGACAGTGGTGTGAATTTACAGCGTGTAGAATGTAATAATATGGCCTGGTTCACGCAGTTATTCATACTTCGAAAGATGCAAATTTGTTTTGCACGTGAATATAGTGTAAATGGGACACTCGTTAACTTCCCACGCGCTATCATTCATTCACAAGCTCCACATATACGTCCTTGTATACATCTAAATTATAGTATCTACGTTGAGCCTCATCATCATCAAGCTAAGGATATGTATAATTGTCCATATAATGTACTCAAATTTCAATAATACGTCATTGCTTCAGATTTTTAATCGATTGATTTTTTTAATGCATTTTTAAGAACATGTTCATTAAAAATGCATAATTTACCCAAGTGAAATATACCCGTATATTTTTACTCTCATTGCCTTGCTATACTGTTGACTTTTGATGTTCTCGTTCTCAGTGGGCGTATATAAAGAAAAAAAAAAGGGATGGGGTTATAGCACTATTCCCTATATGCCAGATTAACTACACCAGCGTCGAATATTGTTGAATATGTTGAATATCACATTTCTTAGTGTAGGCCTAATGTTATCAAAACATATCCAGTGTTTGATGTTATTAGAACTGATATGAGAACTTGGTGTAACAGTTTCGGGTGTGGACTGTGGACCATATTTTAAGAGATCATTGTGAAACAGTGTAAAATTTCAAAGATAATGGTTTGTGACGAGGATTTATCTATTGTGTTTATCAAATAGGATATTTTGTCTAGTCATCAATACATATCCTTGACCGCTGATTAGTAACCCGCAAACGGCTGTTAGATTGGGTCAAAGATTCACCCTCCCCATCCCACCCCATCTCTCTCTCTCTCTCTCTCTCTCTCTCTCTCTCTCTCTCTCTCTCTCTCTCTCTCTCTCTCTCTCTCTCTCTCTCTCTCTCTCTCTCTTCTCTCTCTCTCTCTCTCTCTCTCTCTCTCTCTCTCTCTCTCTCTCTCTCTCAGTTGACTCTCTTTTTATCTCTACACATTTATATCTATGTATTCGTATGTCAATCTATATACATATATATATATATATATATATATATCTCACTCTCTCTCTCTCTCTACCCCTCTCCCTTTCTCCCTATATCTCTATACATGTATATCTATATATTTGTCAGAGTGTCTATATCTATCTCTTTATATCTTTCTTTATATTTCTTTCTCTTCCCCCTCTCACTCTTTCCCCTCTCTTTCTGTCTGTCTGTATTATATCTCTCACACTCTCACTGTTTGTCTGTTTCTCTCCCTAGCCCCCCCCCCCATGCTCTCTCTCTCTCTCTCTCTCTCTCTCTCTCTCTCCCCTCCCCTCCCTCCCTCCCTCTCTCCTTCTCTCTCTCTCTATCTCTCTTTCTTGTTGCCCCTCTCTATCTCTATCTCTCCGTTTCTATCTCTATCTGTTCATTGTTCATGATGGGTCTATTTTACACCATAAGGATGTATTTCGTTTTCTCTAGGTGCGTCTGTCTCTTTACAGTTTTAAAATCTACTAGTAGGTTTATTTTTATTTATTTATTTTACATATTTAAAAAAGGGTAGCCCAATCAGCATATATACCGGTTTTTGTTTGGGCCCTTTAACATACGAACAAACTACGTGTATATATACATTCCAAAAAACTTGTGAACAATACTTGTGAACATTTCATTACACGTAATATCTCTGCCTTTCTCCCGTTCAATTTATCAATTAACCGAAACTGCCTTAAATAGGACTTGAAAATCTATGATTTTGATTGCAGTGCCTATCTCCTAGAGGGAAATCGATTGTTAAAAGACTCCTTTGTATTCATAATCGCATCTATATTGTGTTAAACTGGAAGTCTGTATGATAGCGTGATAACACCCGTGATTTTACCATGATCATATCTCACTTGGTTAGGTAATAGTACTTGGTTAGGTAATAGCACAGGTGTATAATATTCATTTGCCTATTTGGCTGTTCCTGGAGTACTTAAAGGGATTGGATCGCCAGTTTCCATGTGCAGAAGGCCATAATTCGCTGACACCAGACTTGGTGGAAATACCATTAATGGGGTACAAATTTGCACACAGCAAACCCATAGTCCAGTCAAGAATTACCCCCTAATCTCTCGGAGAGCTCGAGAGTCTTCGGGCAAATCAAAGCATTACATAAGGTCCAATGGTCATAAAACTCAAGGCTAACCCTGGTGATTGACAACACCTGTTATTGGGTAAACACCCGAACGGTGTCGAATTCCCCATGAGAGCCGACTACTCAGTGACTTTAAAACACGAAACGATCTCGCCCATCCGGCCTACGATAACGGTACCTGTATTATTTATAATTATAAACGCCCAGTATTGTGTGGTGTTTAAATCAGATCGCCAATTATTAAAGGGGTGGTACGAAGTTGCTCTGATGAATTAGACGCTATTAATAATAAGCTTATTGATTAATCATTTTCTCTGTTATCATCATAATCAGTAGTAGAAGTAGAAATAGTAGTAGTAGTATAGTAGTAGTAGTATAGAAGTAGTAGTAGTAGTATCATTATTTTGCTTGCTTGCTTGTTGAATTTTTCTCTAGACCTACAGGGGCCATGTGCCCCTCCCCTATAACATAAATGACCCTTTTCTCCTTAATGCCATATATTTTAGACCCGGGTCCCGTCTTACAAAGAGTTGCAATTGATCCAAATCAATCGCAAGTCCTCCCATCAATCGCAAGTTTGCAGTTTCCTATCTCTTAATTATGTATATACATAGTTGCGATTGATATCAACTATTTGTAAGACGGGGCCCAAGTTGTTCAGTCGTTAACTAGGTGAGAGAGTTTGTAAGTTTAACATCAAAAGCAGGTCGAGTTGAATGCCATTCACAACATCAGCAAACATACGAAGTATCTATCTCCCCTGCCAGGTTTCTGTATCAAGAGAACAAGTATTAATCAAAAGTGACCATTGGTAATTAGGAATAAATTATCTATCTTATCCAACGGAAGCATTCCGAGACAGCAATCCCTTAGAGCAGTCACTAGCGTAATAAATACTACTACTCCTGTCCAGGATCCACAGACCAAATTAATGGTGTGGTTTTTGACCTATATCATCGATCGATCATCGATGGCGTCCCAGACTTCACAGGCATATTTGGAAGGAATGGGGATACAGCTTCTACGACATGTTCTCCTGTGACAAAATGTTCCGCGATTTAATTTATTTTCTACATTAACCGAACGTATAACCTCAACCATGGACCTAATACTATACAACTCAACCCTAAAACATAAACCTAACCTAAAACCTAATCGAACTCTTATGGCCCGAATTCACAAAGGTGGTTTGTCGACAAAGTACAAACCTAGGTTTATGTGCGTCATATGATGCGTTTCGATGTGTTTCAGACCAAGGTTCAGACAAACCTTGGTCTGAAACGCGTCAAAACGCGTCATATGACGCACATAAACCTAGGTTTGTCTACAAACCTCGTTTGTGAATTCGGGCCTATGTCTGTATAGAAATAAAACCCGGATGAAATTTTGGATCACTGGTTCATACAAACCTTGGTCTGAAACGCGTCAAAACGCGTCATATGACGCACATAAACCTAGGTTTGTCTACAAAATTCGGGCCTATGTCTGTATAGAAATAAAACCCGGATGAAATTTTGGATCACTGCCGTACCGCTTTTTTCTTTTAAAAAAAGTTGACCGACAAATTTCCCAGTATTCTAAACGTTTTGTTGCATCACAAACTTAAGTCATTGTGTACGAGGAATGCCATTTCTTTGCGAACACCAGTTTATTTCCGCCAACAAAAACAGATCTGCCGTTGGATATTTTAAATGGGGCTGTCACTCTCCTCTGTATTAGTGCCTCAACGACGGACTGTAGTTTATTTTCAGGGGGAATTTGACACCATTCTGGTGATTACCCAATAACAGAGGTTGTTAGTCACCAAGAGTGGACTTCACTTTTACGACAGACAGCCCTTGTGTAATGTACTGTGCCCTAGCCTACCACCGTATGGAATTTAATTCTACATCAAATTTCCCTCACCCTCGAGATAAAAGCAATTTGGAGTATTTCTCTGGTGGGACCATGGGTTCGCTGCTTCCGAGACCTTTACACACACACACAGACACATTGTATTGACTGGTCATTTGGTGTCAAATTTGGTGTCAGCGAATTATGATGCAATACGCATGGCCACTGACTCCTGAGTGGTTTCAATGTCCTCGCATTGACTCGCGTTCAAGCTTACAGATCTTAGCAACCGAATTATATCTGTCCCATTGTCGGTCTTGTTTCACTTCATTGACATTGTACTGTTTGTTGAGCAGATCGTTACAGTAATGAAACAAATCTTTGATAGTTTAGTTGAACTTATAGGCCATTAAGAAACTGATGGATTACTTATCATCTGACTTCGCAAGTTTCTTTCGATGTCTGGGCTTCGGTTCATGAAACTGTCTTAAGTACAAGTTCACCGACATCCCTTCGAAACGCGTGTTAAATTTAATACACCAGTTTCCATAGGTTATTGGCGAACTTGTACTTATGACGTTTTCCTAAAACGCTGCTCAGGTTACTTTTTAACATTTTATCGATTATGTTTTGACATTGAAAATGTTCTCTAGATCCATCCTTATCGATATGTAGGTTGTTCGAAACAAGCGAACATCCATCATACCTGGTCTTACAGGACTAATTCTAACCCGTCTCACAGGACCCCTGTCCATCCATACGAGAAAGTGGGCCATTGGCGGCTCCAGGGTTCTGTAGCTGGGAGGGGGGGGGGGGGGGGGGAGGGGGACGGGGGGGGGGGCACAAGTCCAAATCTTCTGCGACGAGCAAAATGGGGGGAAAAACTTAGGTGTGCACTTTGGGCTAACACTTTCTCTGACAAGAAAAACTGGAAAACGGAAACAAATTATGTTCGGAATAGCAATTGATATCTAACTCGGATTGATTCGGTATCCATTTGCATCAACAACCGGCCAAAGGGACGATGTTCCCTCTCTCTCTGATCTCAAGTGTTTAATTTTTAATATTCGTAATGATTATCAGTGTACAGTGCAAGGACTTACATTCTTTGTTTACTTACAAAGTCACATGCACAGGAACAATGAGATTCTTCCTTTGAAAATCGAGATTAACGTGTTGCCAAAGGGGTTGCCAAAGAACATTAATAGTGCTGCGATAGGGATAAGACTTAAGAAATGTTATTAGGATGACTCGACGATCGCTCTACGCTCTTCCTCCAGCCTTTTTTTTCTGTCAAAGGTACTACTGAGCTAGGGATGTTAGGTTAGGTTTTAGGGTTAGGGTCATGTTGAGGTATGATGGGTAATAATTGTTTACCCAATAAAGCCTCATCAGCATCACTTGCGTTCTTCATGAGGCCCTTGAAATTATTAGTCCCCCAGAAATTGTCAGGTGCCTATTTACACCTGGGTGGAGAATGGCAAATGTTGATTAATACCTTGCCAAAAGACGTTAGTTTCGGGCTCGGATTCGAACCCTCAACCCCTGGATTCAGAGTCAAATAAATAAACCACTATTCCCCGAAATTAAGAATGTGGTTCATGAAGGAGATTTACCGCAGAGCCCTCGTCCTCGGGTCATGTATCGTATATTTTTTATAAAGGAGATATCCAGATGAATTTAAAAGTCACTGTATAAAATAAATGTTTTGTAGTCCAGTTTACTCTTTTTCTTTTTAAGCTCATAAATTAATAATACCTTTCAAGTTTCAAATAGTTTTAGCAAGTTAAAAGAAAAAAAAGAGAGAGAAAACTGGTATCTAATATCTTGTAATCCATGTATAATGGAGGTCATGCAGTTAACGGTTGATAACAGGAATGATAACAGGTTGAGTACAGTGCAGTAATTGATTACGTAACACACTTGTTAGAGTGATATGATTATCCTCCTATCATATTCTAAGAAGGATTAAGATAACTGTGACATTGATAATTGTGACCTTGATTGGGTTGTCGGTCAACGTTTATAGAGTTATATCCTTCGGTAAAAAAGGGTGTGCGTTTGGGATGAGTATAGCTGAGTGGATATATTCGTCGTTATATCTTGATTGTTAATGATAATGAATCTTTTCTTCACTACACCCCGATTGTTTCACCCCCGTTGCTATTGTTGTTATTGTTGAGTTAGCTTTCACAGCGCTTACCATTCAGTAGCCTACCTATTCCGTCGATACTGATATTCGATCACCTTGCAAACTGGGCTGCGCTATTTAGTCTAACTTCGAAATTTCGACGTAGAATGTGACGAACTGTATAATAATATATTTTTACTTTCTTGTAGTATTACCTAAAATCATGCTCTTTACTCCACATAATAGTCAAAACTCAAACAATTTCCTATGACCTTACAAAGGCTATTTTAGCCCTAAAAATGCTAGAACAGGAAAAAATCTCTCTTGTTTTGTTATTTCGTTGTTTTTTGGACTATGGAAAAAATGGAAATGAGTGGTGAGGCAGGAATGAGGGAATAATTGGCATTATTTCATCCAAGTTCATGGTCGTAACAATGCTATATTTTCTTCCTGTCCGGTTCTCACGTGGCATTATTTTGTTCCCGCCTCGTGTTAATGCATGACCTTTATTGTCCCGCCCTGAACAACAACTTGCAATGTAATTTACAACATTGCTCAGGTATGAAATCACTCCAAAAAATATGACAGAGCCCTAACAATTTCCATACTGCCGGGAAATACACAATGAAGCTAGCTACCCAACTGTAATCTTTCGATTATGTCCATAATGGGCGAACAGGCCGTCTGGGAGTCATTTGTTAAGAGCAACATTTTTTGCAAGTATTTATTTGTATTGTCTAGAGTCCCATTCAGAGTGGAGTTGAAATTACCACATCGATCAGAAACGGGGGCGGATCCATAATTTTGGTAAAAATGGGGGTAGTACAACGGTCCGAACTTTTATCTCAGAGAAGAATGAAAGAGGGTGTCACATTTTTTTCAGCGCTAATTTACTATTAAGCAAAGAAATAAGTTATCCGTTAATTATTGTTAATGCTTTTTGGTTAGAAGTTGGTAAAAGATCGGGGGGATTTAGGGATTGAATACTTAAGGTATGCAACTTGGAGATAAAAACGGGATACGGGCTGACCAGTGCCGCCACCCTTAATCCGCCAATGATGCAATAGTTTTGTCACAACTTTCTTTTTTTTGGGAGGGGGGGGGGGGCAGAAGCTTTATCACTGCGATTTGGCCCTCTTTGTTGCGAAAATAGTTTCCGATAGAATCTTTTGTAGTTCTTTTCTCGTTATATGCTTTAATGTTCTTGCGTATAATGCGCAGAGAGCACAATGCATGCACGTCTCCAAATCTAGACAAATACCATTTTGGTGTAATTTTGGCTCCAGAAGAAACATCTAGAGAAGGGGATGAAAAGGCGTGTGTGGATTCCCTTACATAATCGACGCAGCCATGACGTATAGGGCGCGACTGAGCCATACGGCAAAACAGTATATATTAGATATAAACGCTAGTAACCACAACTATTCACATGGATGAATTAAAAGCATCTGGAAACATTGACATATTCTCGCTGTGGGACACGGTGAAAAAGGTTCATTCGCGCGAGGGTTTTTTTTCGTTCAGAAATATTTCTTTTTTCTTTTCAATCCATCGACAAAAAGGTATATATGATAATAATACGGTCGTATCACATTCACCCAGGGTAGCCTCTTAAGTATAAACATTGATCATCCTGAGGGCCCTGCAAAGTTTAAGGTGAATCCAACATTCAGCCCCGTCTATTTTCATTTCAGTACTAGCTTGGTATACCGTATAATCAAAGAGATACTTTGGTATAATGGTCTATACCACGATAAATCACTGTTTCATTCATTCCTTTGTTAATCTCTGGATATTTCCGGGTTATTCTCAAGCACCTATATGGACACTAAATTTTATGACCAATAGCCTAAATGGAAGTCAATGAACTGTGTTTCATTTGATACCATACCATGTTGCGGATATGCAGCATTTGGTTTCAGTATATAGGCCTGTTTTCATCAGCTCGAGATTGCCAAATAACCAGCTATTTTAACTATCCCAATCGCAAATAAACCAGCTTATTTGTGCGTCTTCATCAGCCCGCAGTTGCAATTATCTTGGTCGAGATAATCATCCTAAGATATCTTAAGCTGGTTTGCAAAATATCCCGCTATATTTTGTCAGGTGCGTCCTCACCAGCCCGAAGACTCGCACTATGCGCGAACGCTGATCTGAGCCAAATATCTCGAGCTAATTTCTAGAGCTCGAGTTTCGAGGTGAATCTCGAGCTGATGAAAACGCGATTTGTAACTTCTGGTTTATTTCCCAAATAAGAAATAGCGGGCTATCAGGCAATCTCGAGCTGATGAAGGCAAACCTAGTAAGAAGAATGTAGAATTTAGATCTATGCTCCTTTTTTTTTCCTCACTGTAGGGAGAAGAACGTATCCACGTCTCAACCCTCTGTGACTATGGCAACAAAGAATATACCATCAGCAAACTCTATGATGACGTCTCCACACTTTATGAAGGATTCCTAAGAGGAGAAAGGGTATCAAGTAAGAGATTTCTTGAATGACTTTTATTTTTTTAAATAAAACGAAGTATTGTATGAAAATGACTAAACAAACATAAAATCATAGCTAGTTTCAAGTATGATTTGCACTTTCGTCGTAAAGGCTCGTTTAGATATGACGCGAAAAACCACGGCGGTTTTTTAAAATGATAACGTTAAAGTTAAAGAGCTCGTGATATTCGCGCTTTGTTCCTTTTAGTTTCGTTTATATTGTTCTATAAGGGCTTTCTGTTTCATTCTTGTGTTTTACTCAGATGAGTGCAAAGCTTTAGTATGGCTCTTTTCAACTCGATTCTCCGATAACGTAAAATGTAATACGCGTCATATTTCTTTATCTTTTAACACAGAGCTCAGTGAATATTTGTTGTGCGCAGTTGGCATTCATTTTTAACATTAAAAAAAATGAAAAAATTGCGACTTACTTAGCTATATCTGAACAAGACTCTTAGAATATAAATATACAGAAAAGGAAAGAGAGAGAGAGAGAGAGAGAGAGGGGGGGGGGGGAGGGGAAAGAGATTTGAGATGCTTCAAATCACCAAGATATTAATTTTTTCTGATAGTAGCTTGCTATGAGTGAAAAGTTAGTGGTTTTTGATATACATTTTATCAAATTCTTTCGGGCTTAGTGCTGTTTCTTCAATCAAAATTTGTTTATATTCACAACTTTTTTAATATTTCTGTAATATATCATTTCTGACTACGTTTATTTGTTACCTGTTTCTTAGATGATGGGTCGTGCCTGGGATGGAGACCAGATGGTAATTCACCATACCAATGGATGTCATACAGTCAGGTAAGTCTCTTGACTTCATCTTTGAAGACCAGTGCAGGTCGTAGATACAGGGGGGGGGGGGGGATGGGGTTAGTCCAGATTATCTGGATGTTTTAGATATTTTACCTGTGAGTGTGTGTGTGCGTGCGTGCGTGCGCTCACACATGAATGCACCATTCCCCAAGAATTCACCTAACCGAAGAAAAAAGGGGGTCTGTATAAAAAAAACTTGAATTCGAAGCCGACCGTAAATTTTAATGGCAATACAACAACTTTTTTTTGTTGTTTAAGCCTTACAACTATTAAGTGTGTGAGCGGGTGGTACGGATGGAAAATTGTTCGGGACTTCGGGTACATATCCTTCCCCCAATTAAATGGCATAAACGAAATAAACACACAAAAAAGGAAACTGGTGCGACGCAAACAGAAGATTTTTGTCCCCTTCCACAGTATCCCCTTACTCTGTTAACTTGTTCATTCGCATTTATATCATGCAAGTAATATTTCATGTCATAATATTGCATAATTAATAATATATCGCTAGTATTATCTAAATCCTCATCATTGCAATGTTCATTTTTTATTCCTGTCTTTCTATCTTGCTCAGCAATATATTTCAAAGGCTTTAACCATTATTTAAAGCAAAACATCAAATATCAAATACATAAGAGTTTATTCCTGCGACTGAGCCGTGTCATTGTAGTGAAAACGTTATTATCTGTTTATCAGTTAATTTGTCGGCAATGCCGGCAGCAACAAAAACATTCTTTGAGACTGCTGCGTTATTTTATTTCTCATTTCATAGCATGATATTACACCCAGATATGTGAAGGAGTATATTCGTCAACCAGGATAGCATTCTTATCATCTTTCTTCTCATCTTTCCTATCCTATAGGTCCGAACGAAGGCCCATTTCTTCGGTTCCGCTTTAGTTCAAAAGGGGTTTGCGCCTTCCAATGATACAACGATTGGAATATTCAGTCAGAATCGACCAGAGGTTTGTTTTCAATTCCGTTTTCTGATTCCAATATTTTGATTTGTTTAGAATTTGATTTGACTTGAATCAATTTTTTTAAAATGCAAATTCATTGATTGATTTCATTTTTGCAGGGAAGCTATACAAACTCAGCGTTCCCCCATTGTTTCAGAGACTCATTTATTGTGAAATGACTATGCTCACTCATGTGTATTGTATGATTCCTATTGTAAAAGGATTAACTTACGTTTATTTTTATATATGATATAAATGAGCTTATACTAAATATTTATATGTAAATCCTAACTATGAATAGTGTACACTTTCTTTTTGTCGTAAAGTGTAAATGGAACGATTTTTATAGCGAAGCATTTTAACCATGGCAAGGAATTGCGTTGCATGAACCATCTTTCGGATTGGGCTTGGAATGGGACGGATAGCTTTTACATGACAATGTAATATGATATTTTTGGTTTCGTTTTTGTATTTTATCTCTATGTGTGGATATCAGTGGGTTATATCTGACCTCGGATGTATGACCTTCTCTATGGTAACAGCGCCTCTGTACAGCACACTAGGACCCAAAGGCTACGAGTACATCATCAACCTCAGTAAGTTAGGTCATCTTATACATCTTAAAGGCACACTGCCATACTTGTAGCTACTTGCTCCCTCTATATAGAAAACTTCCCTAATCGGTGCCTGTTGGTCCCCCATGATCCTCTTTTTCTTATGTTAAATGAGAGCTGAGTTAATGAGATAGCCACCTGTCACAGTGACCTCGATGGCTCTCTATGTGGTCTAATCCCTTCTGGCCCAGTAGTGGTGACGATCTTTAAAGGGAAAGGTCGTCCTCTTTTCAAATTACTTTGATTGAGTTGAGTTTGAATTTGAGTTTGAGTTTGAGTTTGAGTTTGAAGTTTATTATCCAAAACAAAAAGTACATCAATATAACAATCAAATGTGAATGTTTAACATTGAAAGGATAAATGGGACCAGAAAATACTCAACTCGAACTCAACTCGAACTCAAACTCATTTACACGTTAAAATGCAGCAGCAGCGTTGAAAGTATAAGAAGAATTGAACACATTATTCAAAGTTTTACCCTTAAAAGCTCCCGGTAAAAAACGTTTTATATTTCACTCTTTTTGCAGGGAAGATATTTACCACATTTGCCCCTGTATTTAAAAACCATAACTCTCTTTATCCATCATCGCATTTTCTTTTACTTATAAACTTATTGAACATCCCCAAACTTTCCTCAAATACATTTCAATCTCGCATTTTCCTATACTTTCGTGGCCCTCTAGTAATTGGTAAGGGTGGACTGCTCCTTTAAACGTGGCTTTCACATCGTCTATCTGTGTTCACCATTTGAACAAGGATACAATTTGTGTATGCTTTTGATTCACTTCCATTTCATTGAGAAAACGTAATGACCACCCTGCGATTTTTACCTTGGTTTCAATTTACAGAGGAAGTTTTTGGAAACTATTACCAACATCCTCTATTCCTGCTGTGGTGAATTTTACACAATGATATCGTATTCGTAATACTAGTCTGCTTCAGACTGAAATACTACACGTCAACGAACTATTGAAATGCACTACATGACTTCCGTGTGTTGCTGTTATAGTTTTGGTTTATTTTTATCTCACATTTTGCATTCACATTCATCACATAAATCAATTGGAATAAACAATAAGAACGAAAATAATTGTTCCCTCAATAGGTGATTAAAAAAATACTTACAATAATATCAGGTAATGAAATTTTAAAATACAGTTGAATTAACATATGGAGATATAAATATATACAATTGCATGGTATTTTAACTAAAATTAGACAAATATAATTTGTTGTGAAATATGAGGAAATCTAGTCCAAAGCTAAGCTTTTCCATTGTAGATTCCTTTTCATGAATAACAGCAGTCTATTGAGCATGAAATTATGTTCAAAATAATACAATAAAGGGGGGTAGGAGAAAAAAACCACAAGAGAGCCGAAAATAATTCGAAGATTAATGCCACGGGTAGATTTACTGGTACTGAAAATGATAAATCTGAATGAAAAACATCAATAAAAAATAAGGAGTGGCATAGTTGGTCCAGCCATTAAGGTGGGGGGGGGGGGGGACTGACTTCATGGGGTGGGGGCATGGGTCTTAATTATAATGCGAACTAACAAGGCCATTGAATTAAGGGAAGGGTGTAGAAAAGGGTATTTCCATATTTGTTTCTGTCATCTCTCTCTCTCTCTCTTTCTCTCTCCCCTCTCTCTCTCTCTCTCTTTCCCCTTTTCGTCACCTTTTCATTGTGAAATACGAGGGGGGGGGGAGAGCTTCACTTTACTGAAAATGATTAATCTACGTCTAGCCATTAACACTCCGGTTTTCTGTTCTGGGCTGATGGTTATTAAATTTATTCTTTTTCTTTCTTTCTTATTATTTAATTTATTATCATTATCAATCATCACCACCATTATCATCATCATCATCATCATACTTCTTCTTATGCTTATTATCAATAGTATTTTTATTATTATTGTTATTATTACTACTATTATTATTATTGCTGTTAATGTTGTTATTTTCATCATCATTATTATTATTATTGTTACTATTATTATTATTATCATTACTATCAGTATCATCATCATCATCATTATCATTATTATCATTATTATCATTATTATTCTATTATTCCTTCAGCAAGCATGAAACTGATTGTGGTGGATGATTTAGAGAAAGCTTCTAATTTGCTTAGTCAAATCGACAAAATGCCTACACTGACTCACATCGTCATCATGGATTCACCAATCAGCGATCAGGTCAAAGGTCAGGCGAAGGAAGCAAACATTGAAGTGATTTCTTTTGAGGAGATGCTAACCCTGGGTGAAAGCAATCTTCAAGATCCCAAGGTATTTGACTTTTCTCCGAAATATTTCGATGGCAGTAATAGCAGCAGGAAAAGGAAGAAGAAGGAGAAAAAAAAACAAAAGAAGAAGAATGATCTATGTGATATACTTCCTGTACTGTAAATTTTTGTCCTCTTTTAATATATTTGTATTTGTAAGCGCTATGGTACTTATTTTTTTTAGCGCTCCTAAATATTCAATATTATTATTAAACAGAAGAAAAGAAGAAGAAGAAGATGATGATTACGATGATGATGATGATGATGATGACGATGATGATGATGATGATGATGATGACGACGATGATGATGATGATGGTGATGATGATGATGACGACGACGACGACGACGACGATAATGATGATGATGATGATAACAAAGAAGAAGAAGAAGGAAAAGAAGAAGAACAATTACAGTGGCAGTGGGAGTAGTAGCAGTAGTTGTTGTAGTATTAGTAGTAGTAGTAGTAGTAGTAGTAGTAGTAGTAGTACATGTATATAGCAGCAGTTGTAGAAGTAGCATTGGTTGATGGTGTAATGATATAATGTAAATCTAGAGAATGATACCACCATTATGCTAGCGGCTTGGAGGGTGTTTTGCAGATGTAATAACAATAATATTTATTTTCTATTTTGTCTAATGCTGTAACAACAAAAATTATCTCCCTTTTTATTTTATTTGTTTCTAGCCGTGTAAACCTGAAGACATGGCCGTCATTCGCTTCACGAGCGGTACCACAGGTAACTTAATAATCTTTGAAACAGGAAGACTGTTGTGCCCAGATAATTCAAGCTCATCAACAGAAATCCCATTTGTTTTAAGTTATTACAGTCTAGACACAACAACAATTTATTATGCTAATACAAATATTTGGAGGGGCAAAGGCCTTGGCAAAGGCCACTACACTGTTCGTAGCAGCTCCCTGTATGCTATAATAATGAGGTTTTTTATGCCGTAAGTGTAGTTTTTTGGAGAGGGAGTGGAAGGTCTTACCTTGGTAGTAATGTGATATTATTTGATATAGTAAATGCAATTTATTAAACTTTTCCCTCAGACGTGCAAGGTATTTGAAGGTCTTTCAGGGTCCACAATAAAAAGGAAGTGATAACCCATCCTGATATTACGAGCAACGTTTTTCTTTATGAAAAGTCATTTATTTCGTCACATATAATACTTTTATTGATTTTTCTTTCTTTAATTCCTTAGGGGTTCCAAAGGGTGCCATGACAACGCACAGGAATTTGGTTGCTAATGTCGCTGCTATTTACTCCTTGATTAATGTAAGTATTTCTGAGTAGCTGTATTGCATTGAATAATTATTTGTATTGTAGAGGCCAGTACACCCGATGTTGCACGTTTTTGTGTTACCTAAAGCAGACCATATTGGGTCTTGATTCCAGCCCTTATCATATTCTCATATCCGCTATGATGATTATGTTTGAAACACAATATGATTTCGATTTAGCGTTTGGAAACTTAGATATTATGGACACGAGTACTTGCGCAAGCATGGTATGTTTCTTGTGTGATTTTCCCGTACTTCGTACAAACTTGAAAAAGTTGATTATCATTACTCAGCATTTTTGTTGAGATTGAGTAAAAGTTGAAAGTAAAATGAAGAAATCAAATGTATAATGAGCGTTACACGAAAATCAAAAAGAAAGCCTAATTACTAAAGTAATATTAGTTTTACGATCAAGGTTTAGCATAACGATGCAATCTACATCATTATTAAATATTGCCTCGTTGATGTCTGACTTTGAATGGTTTGGCAGTCTGGCACAATCAGCATTTGTAATGATAATTCAATTCAGCTTACATGTTTTGGGGATCCATGTAAGTCGTTATTTTGTATATACATGTATTTATCTTTATTTTACTGCCTTATTTTTCTACAGCGTGTCCACGCGTGTGAACCTGGATCCGTATCGATATCATACCTTCCCCTAGCTCACACATATGAACATACGCTCGAGGTCAGTATAACTCATATCTCTGTTTTTATAAAATCATTGTGGAAACATCAGCATATGTGGAAGCCACGTTGATAACTCTATATCAGTTAACAAAGAGTTCACAACCAAGCTCTTACAGACGTTTTTGTGTCTATTCTAGACGATGTTCTTCATGTTTTTCAGTCGTCTTCTTTCATAACCCCCTCCTTTCTTTGAAATTGTACACACGGTGAGGTTATTTCACTTTGAAGCACATTAACCTTGTACTTCACAGTATATTACCTTATACCACTTAGAATTAGGCAGTTTCTATCATTTATTATCTTCAGAAATGCCTCAAAAACAAATCTTTTTTGCAGTTTGTAGTAGTTTTTCTTATAACATGTATATTTATGACATTTTAATTTTCATTTACTGTAAGCGCTTTGGGCCTTATGGGAAAAGCGCGGTATAAGTAATAATACAAATACAAATAATAATAATAATATTTATCTTGATTTTGTTGTTGGTAATTATTTTACATTATATTTCTTTTATATTTGTCTTTGATGTAGGCTATGTTGTTTCTTCGCGGTTGTTCAGTCGGGTTCTTTCGTGGTGATGTGAAAACCCTGGTCAATGATATGCAAGTCTTGAAGCCAGATGTCTTCCCTAGTGTTCCTCGTCTGGCAAACAGGTTGTATGATAAGGTAGGTTGAATCACTAGCCGATTTCTGGTGGGTCTTTCACAAAGATCCTAAGTCGAACTTAACTTTAAGTTGGACTTAAACATTATAAAGAGCCATTAGTAGCCTTAATATAAAATATGTTCAAAAGCGAAAATTCAAGTATTTTAGATTCCACATCAAGAACATGAAATCTCCTTGAAAATAGAAAAAGGAATGAGTTGAATCAACATGTTATGCCTTTTAAAATAGTTTATACAAAATACTTTCAAAGATGCTAACGGCTTTCCATAATAAGTCCAACTTAGAGATAAGTTCAACTTAGGATCTTTGTGAAACACCCCCAGGGAGGACACAACCAGCCCGTGCTCCTCCACCCCACCCTGCTTCTAAAGTCCAATGTCGCATACGTACATCGAATATGCCCCCTCTAAAAAATTGTATTGTGGAACTCCTTTTCAATAAATCTGCACCTGAAAATGAGATAGACTTTTTTTCTCACTATGTTAAAAGAGCTTTAAAAAATGGTCTTCATTTTATTTTTATTTTTTAATTTAAATTTCATTGATGTGTCTCGTCCTCACAGTTCGGGGAAACGAAAAAATTACTCCCAAAATACCATTCTTTTGTGAGAAATGCGTCATCATATATTTTTCATTTACTAAACAATTTGGATGGATACTTCTTCAAAGCCAAAACGCATGTTTAAAATACAGTGGTATGCACGTAATCGGCGTACGGGCACATTTCTGCCAAGGGGGCTTAATTCTGTTGCTCAAATATCTAATTTACAGTTTTAAGTTGATTGGACTAATAGAATATCATTTTATTTACTTTTTGTTTTAGATCATGGGAGGAGTGAATTCAGCGTCTTTCATCAAACGAAATCTTTTCAACTTGGCTTACTGGCTCAAGAGTGGAGATTCTCAGAAGTAAGTATGACATCATAATGGACGACTAACTCCTACTTTACACAAATGTTCTTAATCACAAGTGACAGATAATACTCACTTTTGATAAGATAGCAATTTTCGTCATGTTTTGTTGTTGCAACTTCGGTATGGCTTGCAGTGACACTATATACGAACATTGAAATTAATCACGTAATGGTCATTCTGAAATCTAATTTTCACTGGTATAAATTTACAAATCAATTCATTTTTAAAAGGAAGAAAACATAAATATATGTGATATTGATATGCGTGTCACTTGTTGATATAATTTTGATTCATTGTACATAGATCATGACTAGTTACGATTTACCCAATTACCAAGGAGTCAAGAAATGAGAAGACATAAATGAGTGCACACACTGCAAGCAAACGTTTTGATTCTGTGACTGCATGTGGTCATATCGCTAAAGACTGATTAAATTCACATTATCATATTTAAGTTCATTTAAATATTGCAAGATACTGATGTTTCTCAAACCATAAGTGAGACATTTTCGTTGTTGTTGTTTTTGTTTTGATTTTTTGTTTGTTTTACACGAGGAGTTAATTGACTTTCCTGTTAATTAAGTGCATTATATCTTGCGTTCAAGTTAAATGAGTATTTTTTTCAGATACTAACCACAGAGAATCTGTTAAGTGCTTTCAATGACATAATATATTTTCTCTTTCTCTCTCTCTCTCTCTCTCTCTCTCTCTCTCTTTCACTCTCTTTTACTCTCTTTTCACTCTCCTTCCCTCCCACCCTCTCTCTCTCTCTCTCTCTCTCTCTCTTTCTTGTCTCTACCCAGAGGTATCTTGAGGACAGATACATGGAGTGACTATCTTGTCTTCAATAAGGTTCAGGTAATTATCGCTTTTTAAGGATTTTACAGACTAAATCAAAAATAATGTTTGCAAAACCGGGAATTGAAACGCTAAGAGTCACTGTGTTCTTACAGAGATTAATTGAATTGGTTCACTCTGTTTCAGAATATATAACTCGTGTCCGAGAGATATGAAAATATCTGTCCCTTGTGTTTCTTCAAAAGGTCAAAGTTTAAAATCATGATCATTTCCCAACTGGTGCCGAGCACCTGGAGGGGGAAGGGCATAAGCTACTTATTTAGCGATTTTTTTATAATCATCAGTTACTAGCTCGATTGAATAAATTATAATGGATAAATTCATTCAACTTTGACCTGTGTTTGGGGTTCTTTCAGGCATTGCTAGGAGGCAAAGTCAAATGGATGATCACCGGAAGTGCACCCATTGCACCGGAAGTGCTAGAGTTCTTCCGGATTGTGTTAGGTGTTCAGGTAAGCAGACAATCGATCACTCCATTAGCCTTCATCACTTTTAATTTTAATGATGTAGAATACATTGCATTCATATTATCTACAGCTTTTCTTTTTTTTTTCTTGTTCGAAAATGCGGGACTAATTTGCAAACTTGCAAATTTGCCCCCTCCCCCATCTGCATTCACATGAAATATATCATCTTATGCGATTGTCTGATCTTTATTCTAAATCTAAAATGACAAAGTTATTGGTTGAACTTTACGATTATTATCAAGTGCACTCGTTCAGAATTTTTCCAATGATTTAAACGACAATAAAGCCCACCGCACTCTAAACGATCCAACTGCAACCCGATTTTCGAAGGAATTTCAATTTTATTAGATAGTGCATTTAAGCTCTCTAGTCAGTATAAAAGCCGCAAATCGGCTTCAAATCGTAGACAATTAGCACTACTGGTACATAACTGGGTTTGACGTCACTCACCTTTTTAGCCGAATTGGCTAATCCTCCCCATGGAAACTTAACATTCATTGAAATTCCATTAATTCTTTGACTAATCAGATCATTCATCATAAATCTTGTACAAATTTTGTTGTTCACATCAAATGCTATAGCACATTATTTCCATATCGGATCATTGTCATATCGTATACGGTGCGGTGGGCTTAGGGCGTCTGGATTGATCAGTTCGTCCGCAGTTTCAATCACTAACTAATCGATTTTGATCACTTTTATGCAAGTTAGCACATTTTTTTCAAGAGTCCAGATTTGAATTATAAAAATTCCACAGATAAGTGAGGCGTACGGACAGACGGAAACTGCCGCAGCGACTACATGTACCGTCCCTGGCGAGACGCAGGCTGGTCACGTAGGTCCTCCTCTCCCGTGTAACATGATGAAGGTGGTGGACATTCCTGAGATGGGCTACTTTGCCGCTGAAGGCAAGGGAGAGGTAAGTAAAAAGATTGAGAAGAAAGCTTTTAAAGCCCCACTGTACTACTTATAGCTACTTGCGCCCTCTATATAGCAAACAATGCCTAATCGGTGCCTGTTGGTCCCCCATGGCCACGATACCATTTTTCTTATGTTAATTGAGAGCTGATTTGATGAGATAATCACCTCTTAGTAACCTTGCAGGGAGGTCTAATCCTCTCTGGCCAAACTTGTGCAGACGGGCTTTAATAGATAGACATAATTACCCCACTCTTTGTTTCCTTTGATACCTGATATACTTGGGACTGATTTTGCCTCATTTCAGTTCAAGTTGTGCCTGTCAGGGTATACTAGGTGAAATTACTAACATTGTGTTCATTTTGTCTATTATTTTCTCAATCATCGAGCGTAGGTTTGCAGCAAAGGAGAAAACATCTTCAAAGGGTACTACAAGAACCAGGAGAAAACAGATGAGACTATCGATGCTGATGGCTGGCTCCATTCTGGGGATGTTGGACAGTGGTTACCAGTAAGTTTGTAAACTTAAAGGCCCGAATTCACAAAGGAGGTTTGTGATAAACCTAGGTTTGTCGACAAACCTCCTCTGTGAATTCGGGCCATAATGACTACAGTAATAGCAACTAAGGAGGGATTTGAAGACAGGAAAAAGTCTTTGTTTCGAACGGGTGTTGATCTTTATTAATGCATTCTTTGAGTATTTGGATTTAAGCCGGGCGTATGGTTCGAGTTATAAGCAATAGATACGTTTGAACAAGATTCAATAATAAAAAGAGAATGGTTTATGTACTATTTTCATTGCAGAACGGAACGCTGAAGATTATTGACCGAATGAAGCACATCTACAAGCTTGCGCAGGGAGAATATGTGGCCCCAGAGAAGATCGAGACTGTCCTTAGTCGAAGCAACCTTATTGCTCAGGCATTCGTCTATGGAGAAAGTCTAAAGGTAAAAGATATTAGAACTACCCTGTCCAAAAGGAAGGAGATACATTTATAATGTCTTTCAAACTTTTCAAAATTCACCTCAACCATATACTGCAAAACTAGAATTTCTCGAGTGATGAAACTGTCATGAAATGTAATCAACAGCGATTTGGGGGCATGAAATGGTCTTGCATTGCAAAATTCCTTGTTGTAATAACAACAATTAAGGTACCATTGGCGAAATTCGCGAAGGTTTCTTGTGCTTTTGTGGTACAGTTTGTGTGATCAGTCATGATGATTTATTTACAAGTTGAATAGAATTTAAATGTAACTCTGTTGGAAGATAATTAACTTTGTGATTCTCTTTTACGACCCCCCCCCCCCCCAATTTACTTCTTGAGAAAGAATCTATTTGATTCGGGCGATCGTGTCATGTCAGCGTTGGGATAATGGATAGTGAGATAATGAGAAGAAAATTGAACGGTTTTGACAGAGTTTTGACAGTTATAATGCTTATCATAAGTTGTAACCTTTTTCTTTTTTACAGGCTTCCAACGTGGCTATCATCGTCCCAGATGAGGAGGAATTACAGAGGATTGCCAAAGGCAAGAATATCAATGAATCGATGCAAGATCTATGCAAGAACGAGGTAATGTTTTGACTTCATGGTGATGTAATACTAGAAACAGTTTGACTGAACGATTAATTACATTCAAACATAGTACATACATACTGAAGAGTCATCTTTAAAACAACAATTACTTTAACCCTGTTACGCATAGAGGTTTTCTCTCATCTTAGTTAATATGCTCTTCTTTTCTCTTCTTGTCTCTTCTTTTCTTTCTTTCCTTTTTCTTTCTTTCCTTTTCTTTTCATCTTTTCTCTTCTTTTCTTTCTTGATCCTATCTTGCTTTCTCAAACATTTTCCTCTTTGTCCACACTTTTGTTCATCAATATATTATATTTATCTTGGTTATATTTACTCTGTTCACTATTTTGTAATGATGTACAAAATATGAATATAACATGATTGCTGCCAACGAATAACATATTTATGTAGATACATTTAGAGATAACTGCAGCTCTCTAAAAGATTTTCTTTTTATGCCCGTCCTTAAATACAGGCGATACGAGAAGCGATCAAAACCGAACTCGCCAATGTCCACAAAGCAGGAAACCTCTGTGGATTTGAGAAGGTAAGACTTGTGGATAAGGTCCAGATGACAGTCTACTTATGATTCTTTATTTATTTATCTATTTATTTTTTTATTTATTTATACATTTATTAATTTATTATTATTCATCTATATATTTTGTTAATGAAGACATTTCTAGACTTTTCAGCAAAAAGAATGATTTTGTAATACTTCTTGAATTATGCAAATTGAGAACTTGAGACTATACGATGTAACTTGCAAAGTTCAATTCAAATTATTCCAGTTGTTTAATTGGTTCAAGCACTATTTCGGTAATACATGCTTTCCTTTAAATTAGACTTTAACATCTAAGTATATCTTTGATTTCAGCGTAACGTTTGGAAATGAGTCTGATTTGTGAAATGTCTTTATCTCGATTTTGTTTCAGGTATGGGATTTTTCCCTGCAGCCAGAACAGTTCAGTATTGAAAACGGCCTCCTGACACCCACCATGAAAAACAAACGGGTCACCATCAAAGAAAGATTCCAGCCCGAAATCGACGACATGTATTCCAGATTACAGTAAACTGCCTCACCGATTATGACGTCATAATGACGTCACAGGGTGCTAACATGGTGTAATTTAACACAACTTAATAGCGGTGTATTCTAAACGATTTATGATGTATATGTTTTCACACCTTGACTGTAAAAAGAAGGGAAAGGTGCTAGGAACTACCTGTCCTAATGACGCAGTCTGTCAGAGAAGCTCATAGCTGTTTGCTATTCTTAAGTGGTTTCTTGAATATGAAATGTTATTGTTAACATTTGGCGTGGCAGGGTATTTTTCTACTTGTTGACTATCAGTGTGCTTGTAGTTGATAAGAGAGAGAGACCTTAGATGTGCTGTCATTGTACATTCCCCTTTAATACTAATCTATATATTAATCTTAAATGCATTATATTCTTTTACTATGGCGGTAGGGATGGAAAATTAATACCTTTTTACGAGACTTCAATAAAGAACTATTGTGATAGTACATTGTATGATCTTGACAGGTAGAAATCGGTCATCGTATATTGGGCTTTAAGCATTTGTCATCATCATCATCATCACCATCATTATTACCGATTAACGTCCCTTTTCCACGCTGTAGGGTCGGACGTTTCCTTTCCTTAATGGCACTTCTCTAAGCCTTAAGGTCTTCAGCATCAATCTAGACGAGGCCAGATACTATAAACTCATCCTCTATAATGTCGTCCTTCAAGTTTTGAGGGGACTACTACGGGGTTTTGAACCAGCAAACTGTTAATTCATTGCCTTCTGTAGTAAATGGTTTCCTCTCTCCCAACCTCATGTCCATACCATCTTAACCTCCTCATCTCCTATGACATTTCTGTCAGCCCTACGAATTGGAGGAGATCTTCATTCGTCTTTATATCTTGTAAAGAGATCGTTTACATTAGTTTTGTCATCCTCTATATGATATTAGTTCATTTACTTGGAATTCTACACTGCCTGTGATACCTTTCTTGCGACTGTTACTTCATTACCTGCGATATTTTACCAAAATCTCGGAAGTTTTCATCTTTTAGATGTCTTGTGTGATGGCATTTAGGTGTACTTAAAGTACCAGAAATCACTAGACATAGTAACAAAAGGTATTCACAAGCAGCTCAATTTATTGCGTAATCCCACCCATTTCTTGTTCTCGGTTTTGTGAGTATCATGACAGTATTTTATCTTTATAGCATTCTGGTGCGGGGTAATGTTACATTACTTTATTTTTGGTTTGCATTATCTATTGAGTTTCCAAAAAAATGTCTTGTTCTGCTGTACTTTCGTACAAGATTTTGATGGATGTTGCATCGAACGTAACAGTACTCAAGAGCATCATATCGGTGCTTTATGAACCTTCCAACGAACGTGTGATATTGATATGTGTGATATGTATAGCACTTTCGCATTATAAACTGTGTTTAATTTACATATTCTTTATTCATTTATGCACTGGATTAAAGCAATAATTCTTGAAATGAACTTTATGATGCCTATGTCTTCCAAGCTATTCCAATGTAATAATTTTATTCATGATTTAGTTTCTGATGTTTCTTCTATAACGAGTTGCATACAGAGGAGGTGATATCTTTTTTTCTTTCTTCGAATAGTGATTAAATGTTGAGTAACGTATTTGTATTTACTTGGAAACCTCGTTCACAGGGTACATGAATACTTTGTTTTTTTCAAAACACAAGTTTAAAGAATGTTCTTTTCTTCCAATTATATCATTTTGATCGAATTAAACAAGTATAAAGAATGTTCTTTTCTTCCAATTATATCATTTTGATCGAATTAAACAAGTATAAAGAATGTTCTTTTCTTCCAATTATATCATTTTGATCGAATTAAATATATCTGATTATTTCAATGTTTCAATGTTTTATGACCACATTGGCAATAAGATAAGGAGCAATGATAAACTAGCCTGTCAAATTAAATATTTTCGTCGCTAACACTTTAATTTTAATCGACGAGTTATGAATATAATCCAGACAAATTAAAATGTACCATCTATTTTCATTAAAGATACACATGCAACAGTGCGATAATCGAGCTGTAGATAATTGTGTATTGCCTTCATAAACGTATGAAATGATATACTAATATTACATTTTCAAAGCCTACTCTTGGGCAGCTGACGAAAAGAATCATAGATTCTATTTTCAAAATTTCCATTTTAACTATCGATCAATAAAATTGAACTTCTCAGTTGAAGCATTTATTTACTTTTGTTTTATATTCAGAGAATAACATTTGTATGTCGTTTACATTTTGTTATTCTAGATGTATTTCATTCTTTGTGTTACATCTAAAGTTCAGAGCTCTCTTGTAGAGCGAATGTCAAATTAGTGTAGTTAGTTGGTATGAATATGTTGATTATGTGGTAAATATGAATAAATTGGTACAACAAAAATTTATATATTGAATAACTTTTTGTAAAAAAGAGAATCATGTTTGAATATATATTTTTGCAGTCATGATTATAACTATTAGGTATCTTTATAACAAAAATGGGTATTGTTGAAGAAACAAATGGATTTCTAATAAAATCTTGCTCTGGTCAAGAAAAGAAAAAAGATAGACGTCTATTTGGTGTTTAGTTGTTTTCTGAGTGATCGTTTTATTGGAACAAAACAATGGTTGACATCAAATTGAAACTCCTGAATCAATACTTATTTCACTAAAGACTATTACCATGTTAAACAAATGAAATATAAAACTCTACATTGTATTGTAGAACCTGACTACAGAGACTACCTGTGTACAGTGGCCACCTTATCGGTCTCTCTTGGGTAGCAGTGATATCAATTTTAAGTAATGTACAATTATACACCCATAAAATTCATATCATGAGGTTTGAACAGCAACTGAAAAATAGCGGATCATTCACTTTGATCTATATCTAACCATTTTTTGATATTTGAAAACTACCACTGGTAGTGGTATAGGCCTGTAACTTAAACATCATGATTTTTGTGTATCCTTTTCATATTTAGTACCACGGTTTATGCAACCTCATCCTCATGAAAATAGGTTAAGCGTTGATGAACAGCAATGAATTTAATTCATATTGGAACATGGTACTACATCACCGTCGGTTCAATTTTATACCTAAATACTGTGTTCATAGTATAGTAGCATAAATTATATGACAGGAACTATATTATAGTTGAGCTTAGAGTTGTACATTAAAATGATATTATCACTAATATGCCGGCTGTGTAGTTAACGAGATGGACAATCTAACCCATAGATATATGCGTTATATATTTTTAAAAGTCTTGGTTAACAACGCTGTTATACATTTCCTGAAAATCTTTAAGTTCGTAAAGTACTTTCCAAAAGTCGGGTAATCTTATCCTTGAAAGATAATGTTATACCTTTTAAAGTAAATCTTGGTAGACATCACCGTTTATAAATATAAACAAACCTAGTTCAAAATCAATGGCAATGTTAAAACGTTTCCTTGGGCCGCCTGAATAAGCAAAACAGATTGAGGTTTACTAACTGGGCCACAAAATACAATGCTCTTGTTGTCTTTCCAAACTATACAGTTTTGTATTGTTTTAATTATACAGGTTTTCGCAGCTGCATCAAAAAATGGACGACGTTCCTTGCTTTCCTCCTCATCCTAAGCTGCACCGTTTTGCTTGCCCTTCTTCTCCTAGCCATATTGTAATCCACCGTCCTAGAAGCATCTCCTAGCGAACTCGTGCCATTATGACTGCCACCGTTGGCTGCTCCTGCCTCTGCACTGCCATCGATGTCCTTGTCAATGACCGCTTCGTTGTTGTGACGGAAATGATCGGCGTGGTAGTCGTCTGTTTCTGTGAGTATCGCCGGGGTCGTAATCTGCTGGCGAGGTTTCTCCTTTGATCCTTGACTGTTCTTGATGAGCTTTTTGTTTATGGTTTTCTTGAAGGTCTCACCCGACGTTACAGCTTTATCACTAGGAGGATGTCTTCGGGTGTTGTCGAGCTCACTTCGGACTTCGCGCGGTGTCCCTGCTGTGCATGCCTGTGTCTTGCGGTCCGGCTGACGATACGAGCCGAAGCTGTTTTCTGCTTCGGGATCCGAACTCCATCTCAAAGTGGCTGGAGAAGCCGAGACAGAGACGCGCGGCGATTGGTCAAAATAGTTTTCACGTGATAAGCAACGTCCAACGCTCACCCAATCATCAAATGAGATATCGGATAAACTATTCTCGCAGACATTATTTGTGTCCGTGACCGACTGCATTCCGGAAGTTTGACTTTTGTCGATATGATTTGTTAAACTTTCAGTATTTGCCATCGTGCATGAGATTGGATCTCCAGAAATAGACCCACAAACAGTTTCTTCTTCCTGTAAAGCCAGAGGGTCGGTTGGTTCTGACCCGTACTTTGCTAACAGTTGGTTCTTAAATGTTCCGAGGTAGTTTGAAAGTATCTCCAATACTTTTCTTCGAATACGTTGAATGTAACCTTCTGGGACGCTTTCATTTGTTTTGCAATCTTCTCGATTCTCTCCTTCTAGCTTGTTTGAGTGTCTGTCACATGGACACCAGTTCTCGTCGATCAGTTTCCTGTAAAGATGTATTAAGTATTTTAAGGCATACATGTATGTCCAGACACTTCATACCCTTGCCATACTCATCCTCTCATGTATCAGAACAATTTTCTGACCTTAATAAATCAAGGTCTATCTTAATTCTTAAAAACTCTCTTAATTAAAAGAGGTGCGATGGCTCATGTGGTAGAGCAGTGGTCTCGTAACCGGGAGGTCTTGGGTTCGAAACCAAGTCAATGCGCTAGTGCCCTTCGGTAATGCACTAATATTCCTTACAAGTCTCGCGGAGAGGAATTAAAGCCGTTGGTCTCATGGTTGCTTACTTACAAGGGCAAGCATATACGTGCTTTCTCAGTTAGCAGTCAGATAAAACAATCATTCCTAAAATCGACATTTCATTAATGCGTTAAACTTTTCATGTCTGCTTTCTGAACAAGTCAGAAACAAAAAGCATTTTATGTATAGCAATACACAATGCATGCTAAATTCGATTATTGTTTTCTTTAAATTAGAGGGAACAAACCAGCCGAAACAAGATGAGTATTGGAGAAGGGTCTTATCATTTTCTTTTTCTCCTGCAATTAACCAGGCGTCTCTCGTTAGTTTTCTATTTTACCTCATTTTATCTCTCTCCCACCCTCCCCCCATTATATAGGCTATTTGAGAACAAGTACGTCAGTGTAGCCATGCTCCTGTCTCTACTACTTGGAAAACGTTTGCAAACTTGTATTTTTACCTATAGATATAATCACATAGCTTGTCAATAAGCACGTTGACGTCCTCTTTAGTTCCAAACGGCTCTCCGCTCCTTGCTCTCAGGAATATATTAGCTATCGGCTCCTCCGACGTCAGAGTACTTTCTGAACATTCTGGGGGAAATAATGAACAATTAGAATATAACGCTCGCCATTAGAAGTTAAAGAAACTGAACTTCTTATTTCAAAACCTTGGGCTTCTTCTTTTTAGGGGAAATTTGAATTACGTTTCACGAGATAATTATATATTTTTTTCCCAATATTTATTGTATCTATTATTGAAAGTCCAAATCTCTTGAATACAAATTTAATTTCTGTCATTAGATCAATTTTATCATGAAAGTGAATACCTAGGGCCTTCTTCTCAGAGGAAAAGAAAAGTGGAACGCTGGTTATTTTTTGTTTACTACAAAATAAATCAAATTTTCTGAATGATTATTATGTGCAAGATGGTATTGAAAAACTTCACAATATTTCACGGAATGAGTTAAAAATATCAATCCTTTTTTCAATATTTACAATTAACATATAACATCAATAAGATAGAGAATATAGAAATGAACTTTTAAGACTTTCATATTTTATAAAATTCTAATTCATTTTTCAATCTCGGAAAATATTTTTAGAAATGAAAGTATAACAGCTGTAAAATTCTAAATAGATTACAGAAAAATGATTTGTGTCTTACCCTTTACTTCGCTATCATGGGACATGATTCTACAGTTATGTTATTCACTGGGTAAATTTACTTTATATTCAATATTCCCATGCCTGAAGAACGTTGACAAATGCTACAACCGCATTCGGAAAAATATTTTTTTTGCCCGAATCTGCTTTCTTGATCTTTTAGGATAGGCCTGAAATGTTTGTGAATCTTTTTTCGAGGCACGCATACACCTGTTGCTATGACCAGCGCAAGAATGTCTTATTTCGGCCTCTGCGCAATACGCGCATGTAGTGACGTCACAATAATTTTATCCAAATATGGTTTATGCGCGTGCGCATTATATCATTTGGGTGTTTCGGATGGGGAGATCGCTTTCTAGGGTGAAAAGTGAAAATAATGACAACATTTATCAGTATCAAGTTATCTCTGCCCAAATGACCCTCTTCCTCCCCTATCTTTATTTCATTGGGTTTTGGTTCTGTTTTTTTTTTAAAGATGAGAATTGGATCAATGGAAGCTTGCCTTGTTTAACGATGTATGCTTTTGATCTACGGTAAAATTTAATATTTCCATTTACTATATTGTGTGAAGTTGAACGATGTAGGAATGAATTGCTCACTGTAAACGCATCAGGAGAGCGCCATCCTGAAAGAACGTGTAGTAATTAATACGCCCGACTGCCACTTCTGACTATTTTCATTTCAAATTTCCATCATACATAAAATACACACTGGTGTACTAATTGGGGAGGGGGAGGGGGCAATTTACCCCCCCCCCCCCCCACGTGGTCCATTTCTACTTCGATACCAGTGATTTACAACCTTTTTTAAAATCTTTATCGTAAATTGTACTTCTTTTGTCTTTCTCTCTCCCGCCCCCCCCCCCCCACAAAAAAAAAAAAATGCTCATAATATAACGCCACTGATCATACATGATTACGATTTAAGAGCGGAAGGGGCGTCGATACGTGGATAAAAGGAAGAAATACTGACAAAAGTTTTAACTCAATTTAACAAGATTTGTATTATGATTGTATTCATCTAATAGCTAATTGAGTGGATCACATTGCTATAATTTACGTGACAGATCTAAACAATTCAAGGTAAAGCAAAACCAAACATTATGACACGTACGGACGAACAGGAATATAATACATCTTTCGAATTATCAACTAAAGCCAAGTTTGAAACAAAATATGTCAACATGCGTGGCCGTTAATTTTCTAATTTGTAATTTCAACATGTTGTGAGTCATTCAGCTAAACTTCATTTTTCTCATTACGTTTTTAGTATTTTACTTATTTCAAAGTGATACTGTAAACTTTAAGAAAGTGAATATAGAACGAATGACACCAAAGAAGAGAAAGCGTGAGACAGACGGTAGGAATTAGGAAGACAGAGAGAGAAAGAGAGAGAGCGAGAGAGAGAGAAAGGGGGAGGGAGAGAAAGAGAGAGAGAGAGAGAGAGAGAGATGAGAGAGAGACAGCGAGAAAGCTAGAGTGGGTTGGAGAGATAAAGAGAGAGAGAGGGAGGGGGAGGGAGAGAGGAAGGAGGGAGAGAGGAAGGAGGTAGAGAAAGGGAGAGAGAGCGAGGGAGGCAGAGAGACAGAGAGACAGAGAGAGAGAGAAGAAAGAGAGAAGAAAGAGAGAAGAAAGAGAGAAGAGGGAGCGGGAGAGAAAGAGGGGGTAGAGAACGAGAGAACACAGAACAACATTTGTTTACATATTGTTTTAGTGAACACCCATTCCCCTGCGAAAAATTGATAATCAAAGAAAAATAAAAGTTTAGCCCCCAACTTCCGCTGACTGAAGTAGTAGTATTACTGTATTAGTATACTCGACCGGAAAGCCTGTTACTCATGTTTATAGGCTGAGGATAAAATCATTATTTTCAATTTATTCAGAGCTTCCTTTTACACCTGTATATAGGCCAAACAAACGAAGAAAACAATACAATTCATGAATTACATTGTTTGCCATTTTCAATAAAGCCCATTAACCCAATTATGAATATGAAACACACCTGCGAAATACGCCTTTTAGCCATGACGGATATCGATAACCCCCCCCCCCCCCTAATCTGTGTGGGCACAGAGAAATACCGTCAGATTTGTGGTAACCAGGAATATTGCAAATGGCAGAGAGGAATCAAGGGGTGTCAAGTTGGGATCCCTGATTTTGTTTTGCAACCGTGAACTGAAAGGCTCAGCTCTATAATGTTGAATCATCTTTTATTTTGTATGTAGCAATAGTTCTATTCGGTCCCCCACCCGCCCCCTGTCAATGTACACCCTAGTACTCTCATACACCCGCCCCTTCTCCGGATAAATTATTTGTGGATACGTCACTGTCTCCGTCATTTTCTCCCCTCAATTTTTCTCTCACTCAACCCGGCCAGCCTTCCTCAATTTTGTTTCTTTTTTCCTAAAAAAAACAAAACTTTTCATTAAAATGATTTCATCATTATTCAGGGTAAATATTCAACACCAAAGAAAATTTATTGATAAAGTATGCTTCCGATTTTACAACTTTATGGACACATGTGTATAGGAGCTACAGCTCTCAAATGTTAAAACGCCCGCCTCGTCTTCTTTGGAGGGAGCCCATGAAATACCGTCGATAGCACCGCGGCTATCGTTCAAAAGAATTGTCTGCTACATGCTGTAGAAAAAAGTGCATGCCTGTTGCTTCACGGTGATTGGTATATTGTCGGTGGATTGCTAAAAGAACTCATTGAAGATGAAGCCAATACGTATCTTGTGTCAAATATTCATTGGATATATCATAGGTGTCACTTCAGGTGAGTGAAATTGTATGTTTCAAGTTATTTTCAGTTGAATCCCATTGTTAATGTGGAACTGTGTGCTTCGTGTCTTGCACCCTATATTGCGTGCGCCGCTTCCCCGGGACTTGGGGGAAAGCAGAAATCAGATCACCGCACACTTTTTTCTTCATAGAAACTTGCGGAACTGATTGGAAATTCGTGAACATATCGAAGGCACTGCCTGCGAGCTGTGGGAAGCCATAGTATTGTGAGCGTAATCATATGGATAGATAACTATTCAGCTTAGATGTGGAGGGTAATGAGGGTAGGGCTGATGATGATGATGATGATGATGATGATGATGATGATGATGATGATGATGATGATGATGATGATGATGATGATGAGGAGGAGGAGGAGGAGGATGATGAGGAGGAGGAGGAGGGAGGATCGAGATAGTGATGATGAAATTATGATGTTGGCATTTGATAGTTGCAGTTGTGATGATGGTTAAATGATGGAGATTATTTCTTACAACCTAGATTCCTAGAACTCCAAATAGTCTAGGCCTACATGTATATGATAATCATTGTTTCAGCATGAAAGGCTCTTGATGATTAAAACATTAATGTAGGGGATAATTGAAAATCATAAATGCAAGAAAAGATCTTTTTCTAAATTGTAGCTTCCAAATAGTAGAGCTCAGTGTCCATATCGGTGACCATATGATATTTTTATGATTCATCTCTTTAGATTTGGGTAAAATATGTCCTTGCCGTAAATTAAAGAGGAAAGTTTGATATTAAAGTTTTAGTGTCAAGTGAATTTTAGGAAAACATTGCAGATTTTTGACAGGATGTTGTGACTAGGTTTGCCTCCCCTAAAGATTATGTCAGATGAGGCGAAATGACTTTATTTTGAAGACAAATTGATCCTCATCATCTTCCTAAATCAGCTGTTTGGAAGAGTCTGATCTTGACCTATTTACAGGAAAAGGTCAGAAATTTGTTTAGATTTAGCCCATTTGGAAAGAGAAGATTTGTGAGGAAAAAGTTCACTTAAAAACAGAAAAATTGTGAAAAATGGAAAGACTAAAATGGATCACTCTCATTTTCAGTATGCATGTGTGAATATTTTCAGATTGTACCAAAATAAATGAAAGCAAAATAATGAGTGAATTGATTGGACAAGATATTGCAGCTTAATGAAACAATTGATTAATTTGAAACTTTGACAAATATCAGTCACTTGAAAAATCAAGATGTAGGCCTATACTGTATGTAGTGATTTGAAATTTCTTATTAGGAGCATAGGTTTATTTCGAATTTTTGGTTGTCTAAGGTGAAATGCTGATCTACCTGCGCCCACAAACTTTCCTTATGAATATTGCAATCCGACTGAATTTATTGATTGCAAACAATTTCAGAGATCACATGGGCTGCCTCTGCTCTCCAATCATAGGTCAACAAGCATTGCTTTTAAAATTGCACTTACTCAGAATCTGATCAATATGGAATGAAGTGTTGTTTTTACCTGACGAGAGGTTGTGATTTTAAGTGAGAGAGAGAGCATGCAAAATTGATCCTGCATAGTTATTCAATTATCTTTAACTCGTCATTTCTTTAAAATAAGATTTGAGAGGTATAAATCGGAAGGAGAGTGCAGTTCCCATTTCCCTTGCTAGTTTGTATATATTGAGATATGATTTATAATTTTGCCGTTGACAGGAGTGGGGGGGGGGGGGGCTTTGGAGTTGTTGAACTGTTTTGTACTGTAAGTAAAATCGCAGTACATTTGAAATTGTAACTGGATACTTTAATACTTGCTTCAAAAAGGCATTTGAGAAGTGCATTATATATTAGGCCCTATATCTGGAAAAGTATTCCATCAAATTTAATTTCCACATGTTTCCTATCATAGCTCATGGCGGTTCCTAAGTAAGATGGTGAAGTTGAACAAATACCTGTGAAAGCAGAATAGATTATTGAGCCTTATTCTTTTTTTTCCTCCATCAATAAACTCTGCTTTCTCCGGGGTCACCAAACCATTATTGTGTTCTGTTAAATTTTGATGTAACTTATTTTGATTGTATATATTTTGATGGTTGAATAAATTAATGAATTGAATTGAATATAATTTCATTCATATTTTCAATACTGGAGGGAATATTCAGCATGGCAACAAAGGGGTAGACTACAGTCCAGACTCCATTTCCAATGGCCTCTATGCCATTTCTTGTGGTCAAAGTTGTGCAGGCAATCAAGTAATCAACCCCCTGGAATTCCAAGTTTATATTCCCCTCTGCCTTAGAAGCTAGCTGTACCAAGAAGAAAATAGAGGACCTATTTTTAGACATGTAAATAGATGTTGTGGTGTACACAAGTTGATCTTTCCTGACCTGGCTAGGCCGGGTCAGATTATTAAACCATCAAGCTACACTTCCACCTTGGACTTCTTAGTTTTAAAGTCCATGCTTCCTACTATCCACGGATCTACATGTATACTAAGTAGGCAAAAATTGGTGGACTAACTGATCAAAAATACAAGAAAGTCCAAGAAGTATATTTCAGAGATCCATCATGGGCTCCATTGAGGTCCTCACCTTACATTGACCTTGTGTTTGGAGGAGTGCCCAGAGTTTGTAATTGTAGAATTATTCCCGCTCCACAAGACATCCATGAGAAATGCAAACATGGCTTTGTGTTTTGGCCATGTAGGCATGTACATACCCTTTCCCTTGTTGTTATGATTGAGTGAGGGACATGCGAACGAACGGACTGAATTGAATGGAATGGAATTCCTGTGTAAATTGAATCCCTGGGAGTATATATTGCATGTACTTGGTACAGAAGTAGGTTTTACAGGTCATGTATTGAGAAATTGAACCTGTGTAAGTCTAGACGGAGGCTCTGTGATGGTGGTTTTTATTTTTAGCGAGGTGAGATCACTTTCCCTTCCAGCATTAAAAACTAATTAGAGTCAAGTCACTCATGCCTGTTCATGTGTTGAACTGCATACCCTCTCAAACAATCATTCACCATACTCTACCTTCTGCTCCGTTCCCTCAGTCTCCCTGGTTTCCTCGATATTTTCAACTTCCCCTCATCCATCATTGTCATGTACAACCTAGACATTTGTGTCATTTTCTCCTCCTTTTGGCTAACGTACAAATTTTGCATTCATACTCACCTACTTGTATGCTACGTATTCCTGTTGACTAATCCTCATCTATTATTTTTCTTTCTTTATAATTTTTTCTAATATTCTACTTCATTGTAAGAAAATTATCTTGGAGTGGGAAGTGAAAAAATATGAAAACGCATCTTAAAGATGAAGAGCACTTGAAATATAAGTTACCTGGGGGAGATGTGAAAAGAATTGCTGTGAATAAAGTTAACAGAAATTCACTGGATAGAAGTACACTATACATGTAAATATGTGAATTATTGCCACTTTTGTTATGTTTTCTGTTGTCCATTCATAGACTTTCTTTTCTGTCATATTCATCTGCTGAAAGCCACAAGGCTATTTAATATATAATAGCACCTGACAGAGATTTGACACCCTTCAAAATCTCAGCAGATGACCTGTACTTTGTTTCCATGTATATTATATTAAATTATCAACCATGAAATTGTGCAAGTGTGAACTGAACTATAAGTCCTTTTCAAATATTATTTTTCACTTACTTCCAATCACACGCACATCTCAAGTCTTGTGTTTATAGGCGAGGGGTGAATTGGTAAAACAGAATTGGAAAGTAAGAACTGAGAAACTGAGAGAGAAAGTGGGGAAACGGAAAAGGGGGAACGGAATTAAAGAGCATAGAGAAGAAAAACAGTGAAAAATGGCAAAATGAGAAAGAGACTGTGACTCAAGAAATATGTATCAGAGAGAGAGAGAGAGAGAGAGAAAGAGAGAGAGAGAGAGAGCAGAAAAAGATTAATAACTAAATAATGATAACTTTCTATTTATTTATCGCATAATAATCTACACTTAATTATCTGTGCGCAGTACACTTTACAATCTACATCTACATATCTAAGAGTAAGTCAGAAAGACAGAGATAGAATGGATTTGAGTAAAATAGGAAGAGAGAGCTAGAGAGAGAGAGAGAGAGAGACAGAAGAGTGAACAGAATTAATGTGAGAGACAGCCAGTGACAGAGAGCAGCGAAGGGTGGCAGTGCAAAGTAATAATAAAAATATAGCCAAAGGGCTATTACAAAAGGTAGTCGACCTCCCAAAGTAGGTTATTGAATATGGCTAATATAATGAGGCATATTAGTGGGCTCGGATTGAATTTCAAGTTTGACATTGCCACAAATCACAGCATAGGCCAGCATTTGTTATATTCATACAACCCTTGAAAAGGGCCTGTATTTTTTAACTACAATTTTTTTATATTTTATACAATATGGTATTTTAACACAATTAGGTAAAACTAGACACAAATATAAAACTGACCTTTTTATTCACTTTTGTAAAATACTGTTGATTTTAATAAGTAGGCCCAATTTCTTTTTATAGTACTTTTGAAATATATTTTTGTTTCAATTATTTTTTTAAATTTTTTTTGTTTATGAAACTAATCTTTCGTTTATATTTCTAGAAATACTCTCAAATTGATTGTACAAATTTGTGGCCCTACTTCCTTTTCACTTGCTTAAGAAAATGTATGGTTAGTGAATGTAATAGATAAATTACAATTTTAGAGAGCAGCTTTATGAAATGTTGTGCAATTGAATTAAGGCAGCTAGATATTAACAGCTCACAATATGCTTAAATTCTGTAGTAAATGCACATCATGCAACCAAGGGATCTCACTCAAATTATTTAGAAAGTGAATAGAGAGCTTTTTTATTTATTTTTATATTTTTATTTTGAATCATATGTCACACTTACAGTGTAGGTATCAATTAATGCAGTACTTAGCTTATAAATGATTTTAAACAATTTCTGTTCTGCATTTAGAATTTTCACTCAAAAACTGCATTAAGGAACAGTAATGCTAAACTTTAATTGACTTCATTCTGGAATGAATCATTGACAAGATATTTCATAACATTGTAATGTAAATTTACATCTGCAGTACTGACTGAAATGCTCAATAAAATGTTTACACAGTTCTAAATCAGGTATTCTGCAAATAACACGATCAGGTACCGGAATCCTGCAAATAATACCATTTCCCCCAAACATCACTGAAAAGAAATCACTGAAATTGAAAATTGAATATGATGTCATGTTAACTGTGTGTGACCTACAAATTACATCGCTGTTGTTGCCGCTTGGGATATTGTCAAACATTCTATCAATAGCTGAATGATTGAGTAGGTGGGTACTTGCTCAAAAGAATCCAGTGTGACTTTAGAACAACTTGACTTCTTTTGAGGTTTGATCGACTGCGGTTTTGATGAAGCGTCATGATTGAACGATCGAGGATGGCTTGTTCAAGTCTGTTATTTCTGTACTATTTGCACAATGAGTAATTTGTAATTGTAGCAAGTTGTAGTGAATGGTTGGCCCATTGGGACATTGTATGAATTAAAGAAGGGATATTACAGCATGTTAGAGTTTCAGTAAAAATATGTTTCAGTCTTTATAAAATCCTATGCTGAGTTTTTAACTAAAAGATTTAAGGAACTTCCTTGAATAAAAGAGTCAGTTATCACTCAGTGAAAATTATTTAATCCTGTGATAAACCCAATCTAATTTTAGCACAGGATTAAATGCATTGAAAGCTTTGTAAGCTTCTGATAAAATATGTTATGAGTAATCAATAAGGCAAGAAGCTGCACGCAAAAATGAATGGAAGTCTGTGCTATTGCTTTTATGTATCAACACCCCTATAACACTTTAGAGATATATTAAAGATATATTTCCAATGGGGTTGATAAATTTGTGTAATCATTGGTTTAAAATATGTGCATGTAGTGATTATAGTCATTCTAATAAATTTGAAGTTGATTGAATTATGCTTATACGGTACTGTACATCAATGTTAAAGTGCTTGTAAACAAGTATTCAAGCTGAATGATTCTCATTTGGTATGTACTGGAGAGGGGGGCGGGTCTAAATTTTTTTTCTCTTAGTTTTTATTGGTGTCAGTGTAGATAAAGGCAATACCAAATGTTTTTGACTGTTGACAGATGTCTCTTTTTTATAGAAAATTTGTCAGATAATTTGTCAGGGTATTTGACTGTCTAGTGCACTTAATTCAGATTGATGCGCCATATGGCCCACATGGCACAGTAGTTGAGTAGCTTGTCTACAGATTCTACAAACTATTTCACCTTGCAACTATACTAGACTTGCACTCCCCATGGCATGATCGAAAAAATTGAAATTGTATATTTTGTTCATGCTTTATGAACACAGAGTTAAGCAGAGATGTTTTATAGGCCTACGTGTCTTTGAGTGTAGAGTTGTAGACCAAGGAATATCAAAATAGAATTTGGTGTGCCTCTCCATTCATTGTGTAAAATAACTTGATTCTGATTTATATAGTTTTTGTTTAAAATGGTAAGCACTCAAGACAATAATAATAACAATAATAATATATTCATTTGAAAAGTGTGATAATTATGTGGATATATTCTACTGCACTGCAAGAGCTCATAAATGCTGTGCTTTACATGAACATGTGAGTTTTCAGTCTTGCATGATTACAAAATTTCTCGTGATGGGGCTTTCCTTATTTCTAGTGGTAATCTATTCCATTCCATCTAGGGGCAGCACAAAGAAATGACCGGTCTCTGAGGTTTACTTTGGTTTTATATGGGGTTACTTGCAACATGTCTTGTGTAAGTACTACAAGGGTTACGGCCATGAATTTGAGACTTGATATTCAACAATTCAGTATTACATAACTACCGTAGGAGTTTGACCATTTAGAGCTTTGTAAACTATCATTAATATTGCCCTTTAACCTGCATTGCACCCCACGTCACTCCTCAATGATCATCTCTCAAACCCTCTGCATCAGGATGTAATTGCATTTTTACAGTGGCCGTCTTTGAATCAATATTAGTCCTATCATCTCACTCCGAGCTCTGAGCTGAGCTGAGCTGAGGAATATCCCCCTATCATAACAGACCTTGCAGGGAGCCTGAAGGTGGGACCTTGAACTTCCCTCCCCGGAAGCCCAAGGACAATACCGGTAGTCTCTGTTACAGATTTGTGCGCTTCCTGGCCCATCTGATATCATGACCCTTTAATAATAATATCTAAGATTTATATAGCGCTGGTATACATATACAGTTTTTAAGCACTGTACAAAACAAATGAAATGAAAATTATGTTTAATCTGGTATGTAGTAATTAAGCATCAACAAGAAACATGAAATGAACATTGTGCTTAAAGACGAAACAAACGCTCTAACTAACAGTGTATTAACAATAACATGATATTGAAAATACAATAGTAACATAAATGAAACTGCAATATTCATGCACCCTGGACAATGAACAAACCACAAGGAGATTTCTGAAAAGAGGAAACATATGGTATAGAGAAAAATTGTGTAAGAAATGCATATATACTGTACATTGCAAGCTTGGAAATCCACTTTTGGGGGAGTCATATTTAGGGATCACTATATTTGGGGAAGAAAATCCATGCTAAAATCTAGTGGAATCCACACCCCAAAAAGTTATTCACCATTTTGTTGTAATTAATGGATTCCACTATGTTTTGGAGTGAATTCAACTCTAAAGGAAGTAATATTCCTAATATGACTTCTAAAAGAGTGGATTTCTACTCCTCTTCAATTAGAGAATATGGTAAGTGTATTGTGAAAGGGGTGTACCACAGGATACTAGCATTTTCAGCCATCAGAATACCCCACCACAGTTGATGAGGGTTAGGTTCAGGGTCAGCGTCAGTGTTAAGGGTCACAGTCAGGATTTGATAGGTCAAGATCAGGGGCAGAGTTATTGTTAGGTTCAGGTTTAAGTTAGGGTTAGGGTTACTTTTGTGGTACAACACTCTGCAGTTGTTCATATATCTTTGAAGAAACTATTTTAGAGGGATACATATACATTTTAAAAGTTTTTATTGAAAATGAAAAGTATGCTTTAACCTCAGTTATGCTTAATGTTTAGTTATGATGTTTCATTTTCCATTATGTAATTTGATATTTCAAACTACCATGTTCATACTAGAAATAATTATTCCTTGTGTAGCTTTACAGATATTGTGGAATATGTTATTTATTTATTTCCGTGTGTGTGTGTGTGTGTGAATGGGGTTGTGAATGTATTACTAATTGAACTTGCATGCACAGATCCATAAAAATGTAGAAGGGATATGATCTTGGTAGTCTGCAGAAGAAAAAAGTTACTTCCAGCTTTTGCTTCAAAAATTTCTTCTCACTTTACATTTGATATGATTTGATTTATTTATATTCTGAATTTACAATAAAAAAAATAATATATATATATATATATACAGAACATTTATAACATATAAATAGTCATTTAGAACAAACATAATATACAATGTAAAAAAGAAAAGAAGAAGATAATAATGAAGCCGGAAGGACATCCAGTTTTAATAAATGTTCTGTTTATACTGGCTAAACACAACATTCATAATGTTACTTTTTCTATAACTTGCACCTTGAGCATTTGATTTCATGTGGATTTAGCACCTTACAAATTGTCCAACATTCTGAATGTATGAAACAGTTTTAATCTTTTAAAAACATATTATTTTCTTTCTCTTTTCAGTATATGCCTGTGAGAGAATACCCTTTGAAGATTGCCGGAAAATTCTTCCCTACAATACGACTACTTACCCAAACTACAAGGGACACACATCTGCAGCTGATTCTGTCTTGCTCCACACCGGCGCTTTTGGCATTTACCATGTCATGGGATGTCACAAACTGTTGGTTTTCTTTGTATGCACATTTGTGGCGCCCAAATGTAATGCAACCTCTGGGATGAAGATACCGCCATGTCGAGAACTATGTTACTCAGTCCGTGGACCTTGTATGGGCCAGCCCGATGTGGAATGCTCCCAGTTTCCCTTAGCGACAGAAAACCCAAATTGCATCAGTGCCAAGATGGCGGAGCTACCAATGACTCCTACTCCCATTGTCACTACCATCCCCATTGTCACTACCACCGTCACAGCACCATGGACTAAGAAGACTACATCAGGACCAGTCCAGGACCAAACAACTCCTGGTCCAACAGAGGTCTCAAAGTCTAGTGCGACAACCGTGACAAATCATCCTAAAATGATATCACCGTCATCAGAGACTTCAGAAAACACTGTGACTTATAGGACTGAAGGCGTGGAACCGAACATTAATGAAGAAACAATCCGTGAGACAATAGAAAGAGTCCATTATCACTTCTAATATATTTGATGATTTCCTTTTCAAAGTGTACAAGACAAACAATTTACTTTCACACTAAGTGCACAATTTCAAAAGGTTTTTTTACCTTCTTAATGATGAAAAAATTATAAATATATATTTGTGATGAAATATTTTTTTAATGACTAACACTCAATTTTGTTACTTTGCATCACAAAGTTATTGTTCTTAAATCTTAAAGCCTCGATCTGTCCACAAGTCTCAAGACTTGTACATAATGCATAGTAGCATAAAAGCTTATGGCTAGAGACACACAAATTTAGCATTTTAGAAGAAGAAAGAATTGTACCGTTTAATACATATATTTGTGAGCTGTTTAAATTTTATATCAGGACAGTTGTCTCAGAATTACAGTACACAATTTAAAGTTTATTCATGAAAGTTATATTGCTCCAGGAAGGAGGAGACAATCAACACAAATTGCAAAATCTTTTTGAATCATTACTCCAACCTGTAAATCTCTTGTTACTCTCTTGTTGCAGCTAAAGAGAAATCTTACGAGTCATCGGCTGGCATCATCCTGGGAGTTAGCGTTGGAACTTTGATTACCATGGTGACGCTAGTATCCATGTGTGTCTGCTGCAGGTGAGTAAATGCTCTAGAGAGAGTTTCTATACTCTTTTTATCTTGAATTCAGCATATCATCTGTTGAGAGTGAGTTCAGTTGGGTTTGTGTGTGATAAAGCATTAGTTCATTCCCTTTGGGTTCTAGCCTAGTACCTGAAACCATATTCAATTTTTCTAGTTTGAGTAGTTAGTACATTGAAAGTTGAAACATAATTTGGCCTGTTTAGTTTTTCTTTGTTTTTGATACTTAATCAAAAATACACAGATGAATTAGGATTTATGTATCAGTATTTTAAAGAACTATTTTTCATTCGCTTTTGAGTATTCTTGGTTATCTTACTGTATATAAAGCTCTTTACTTTTTAGTGGATGTTGTTGTGATATAACCCACCAGATGTTAAAGAGAAGGTTGAGTTCTGGGAAGAGGTGAAAATAATTTGTGAGCGTTATCATTCTTATTATGTGTGGAAGAACATCAGATAAGACATGTTCCCTGAAAAGCATGGCTCTTCAAACGCCTTCATATTCTAAATATGTCATGTAACATCGTAAAAATCCAGGGTAGGATTTTTACACCATCTACATCTTTCTGTGTACAGTGTTTGTAACTTTACCAATTAAGACTTGGCCAAATTTCTTATCATTTTGATGATTCCAGGACCTTGCAATACACACAAATTCTTATATGCCAGATGATCAACCTTTTCTGGTCAATTCCACACCGTGTCTTTCACAATGCAATCGCATGACCATAACTGGTCTTTATCTTTAAACTTGCTTGGGTTCAGTGGGCTAGTTAAGTTTATGGGCCTTATCAAGTCATTAAGTGGGTACTTGGTAGTACTAGTAATCATGATATTGGTTATTCAGGCTTTCAGGACAATGAATTCTGTATGCACTAGATAGGTAACTATGGAGACTTATTTGAGCAAGTGTGAATCATTCTTCAAGACTATGATGTAATCATACCAAACCTTGGTAAAATGACAGTGTACACATCTCAATACTCTTGTGATTACTTTTTTTTTAAATCACCATGGTGTGAAATTTGACCTCCCATGTTTGTCTGGCTCTCCTTTTCATATACTTTGATTCATATTGTCTGCTGGGAGTTGTACTAGAAGTATCTAGGAAATTAATGTATTTCCCTGACGTTGGATTTCTGTTTCGTCTTCGATATGCTTTCTTACTTTCAAAATGGTCTTTCAACCTTAAAATCCTGCAAAATTCAAAACCTGCAAAATTCAAAACCATCTTATTTGTACCCTATTGTTCAGGGGAAAAACAAATCCTGATCAATGGATTTCCTATCAAATTATTGACGTTTGCATACATGTGTCTCTTTCGATTTGAGGCCTTATCATTATGAAGGACAGTGCTATCGTAAACAGACAGTAATGTGGCAATTCTGTTGTTTAGTATTACAAAGTAAAAATTAAATAACCAACAGATGGAGCGTTCTCTTTTATACAAATATTGTTGTAAGCAATAAATTCTGTTTGTGTGAGAGGCAACCCTCTCACTCCCTTACTGCACCAGTGGCTGATGTGTATTGAGAAAGTCGTGGCAGGGGCTGTTATAAACAATTAAGTTTGAACCCAAGCCATATATAATGCTGGATTCCGATCCAGATTGCACAACCTAAAATGATGATCATTCCCGATACGCTTGCACTTCACAATTATGTGCACCCCTTCCTCCTTATTCCCTGCATTGTTACCGTCACTGCCATTTACGTATATGGCCGGCCCCTCTTCAATATTAAGGCTCACAAGGCATCGGAAATGACCAAAAAAAAATCTGATTACCATACTGCCGCTCTTTGGAGGGGCCGGGTGGGGCCTTTTCAGAATTATTTTTACACTAACCTTTTTAGGCAATACGGCTTAAAATAAACAAGCATGCTTATAATTTTTTGAAAATAAGCTGAATTCCGACTAAGTTTTGCACAACCTAAAAATTAGAATATGGTCAGTACGTCATCCCCCCCTCTATGCGCGCCCATTTCACACGCACATACACCCCCCAAGTTTGTCCCGTTTTCGTCGTCACTGTCACTTAGTGCCATTTCCTTGTCTTTCTTCCTTTCTCACCCGGCTTTTCTTTCTCTTTTCTCTTTCTCTCTCTCTCTCTCTCTCTCTCTTCTTCCTTTTCTCTTCTTTCTTTTCTCTTCTCTTTTCTTTTCTCTTCTCCTTACTTTTTTTCTCTTGTTTTCTTCCTTTTTTTTTCTCTCTTTCTTTTCTTCCTTTTTTTTGTCCTTATCTTTTTTTCTGGTGCCGCCAATAGGGGGACCGCGGCTGTTTCGGCCCCCCCTTGGATCCACCACTGGGTATATTTTATTCAATTTATCTTAATTTAATTTTCTTAACCTTTCCTTGGCTCAACGCTAGTATGTATATAATGTAAAGAATAATTTACAGGAAAATGGCCAGCCTTCATGTATGTTGTATTCAGACAGTCCTATGCAAAGCCTCTCATGGTAGCTTCAGGTCAAGTAGTGAATGAGCTTGTATGATGGTGAATGTCATTTTCCGAGGGCCATGCATGCTCTTCAAGGAAACTTGAAGGTTCCCCCAAGATGGATTGAAGATTGAAAGAATGAGGGAAGCGAGGGGGGACATTGAAGGGTAAAGAGATGGAAGGGAAGGTAGTAGAAGTATAAAGAAAGAGATTGGAAGAGAAACAACCTGTAATTCAGAATTTTAGGACAGACTTGAGTAGTAGCAGTGGAATTATTATTGTTTTGCTGTTAGTGATGATGATGATGATGATGATAATGATATTAATGAGAGTAAGATGGAAAACAGGATTAATGATGCGGATGATGATGATGATGATGATGATGATGATGATGATGATATTAATGAAAGTAAGATGTAAACAGGATTAATGATGAGAATGATGTTGAAGATTTTGGCGAGGATTCATAGAAAGAAAGGAGGGAGGAGTAAGAGAGTGATGAATATGATGATTATAGTGATGATTAGGATAATGATCTCATCATTGGTCCTTTAATGATGGTGATAGTTTATTGAACAATTAAAAAAAAAAGAAATGTAGAGAGGGTAGGAGTAATAATGATGATGGTTATTGTGATGAAGACAATTATGATGATGATAATTGTGTTGCTGATAATAATGACGATAATGATGATGTTAATAATAGTGGTGATAATGACAAATGCATACATTATGATGATTACAACTGCTATCAATAAGGGATAGTGGTACACTATCTTCTAAAAACATAAGTGTTGTGTTCAAAGCAAAATAGTCTCAAAAACACATACTCCAAACCAGAAGTCAGAGCGAGTCAGATGCATTAATCAAACTTGATAACCAGGGCATGGCAAGTTTTCGAATTATTGATGAAATCTCATCCACAGAAGATAACAGGTTTGAATGAGAAGGGTTCAGAGGAGGATGGAGGCAGATGCAAAGTGGATGCTTAAATGCATGATGATCGTGTTTTAAGTGTGACCCTTCTGCTGTTTTGAGTGTGGCCCTTCTTCTGTTACAAGTAACATGATCTGATAGATGCTCAGGAGAGCGCTGGAAGGGGGAGGAGGGCATAGAGATGGGATGGCCGGGCCTCGATAAGGAGATGCCAAGATTCCGGGTCTGGTATACACAATCAGGAGTTGAATGGGCGATGTCTATGATGTGAAAGGTGAGATAAATGTAGATTAATGTTGATACAAGTAACATGATAAGATGGATGCTCAGGAGAGCGCTGGAAGTGGGAGGATGGCATAGAGATGGGATGCCGGGCCTCGATAAGGAGATGTCAATAGTCCCTGGGATACACAATCAGGAGTTGAATGGGTGATGTCTATGATAGATGCCAAAGATGAGATTAATGTAGATTAATGTAGCTTGTGTTGATTGGAAAGAAGAAGTTGAAGACAAATTTAATATAGAAAAGGGGGCATAAGGAGAGGGTGATCTGACATAGGTTTTATGTTGCCATTTTTTTGGATTAGCTTTAGGGGTAGGGTTATAGATAAACTTGTATAGTTCAAGTTTTGAGAACAGGGGGGGGGGGCGTTTCACAAAACTTGTCATCAGTGACAAATGACAGTTTTTGTTATAAGCTACTGAAATCCTTGCTTTTGTTGGTTATCAGCAGATTTGTCACTGATTTTTGTCACTTGTCATTGAAAAAAGGCTTTTTGAAACGGCCCCTGGTTTACGGTATGCATTGGGTTAGTTGGAGTACCAGGTAGAGAGTTTACAAAAATTGCTCAGTGAGTTGTTGTCACCAGAGCATATTGTTCAATCAAGGAAAGAATATGTTATGTTCTTAACTTCACCATAATGGATTTTCCCTTCCCAATAAAAACAAAGCAAAACAAAGGGAACATAAACAATACAGTCCATTAAAGATAAGCTTGAGTTCTGGTAATGATAGAAAAATAAATTCTCACAGAATCCAACAAAATTTACAAGTAAATGACAAGTGCAGAATGATTTCGGTAGAAAATGCATAGGGGCTAAGTAATGAGCATAGCAAGATAAGGAAAATAGGCCTGACACCATTTGCTTAACACAGGTCACTACATGCAAATGAGAGTTTTGTTTTTTATTGAAGATAATTTCCAGCGAGATTTTGTGAAGTTTGATTTTATTTTACTTTGTTCAAACAATCGATCTACTGTAGGATAAACAATTCAAAATTAATTATAGCCATGTTCTCTCGACATGCGATTTCCATACCAGAGCTCAAGATGAGCTTTACATATTTAAATACAATAACATATCAAATAACTTTCAGTCATTTATGGAACATAAGTAGTTTTTAAACATTTATTAAATATTCATATTTACTAGATTTCTATAGCATGTGTATTTTTTAAAATTGAGTTTTGATGATAAGTTCATGTTAAATCAACTACTGCAGAGGGAAAAATATATTTTTGTAGTACTTGCAATAAATATCCTTCATGAATGTGGCTTTCACTGTGTCACTCACCAGCAGCTATTTATAAGGTTATGGATTTATATTTGATATGTCAAGGT